TCGTATTCCGCTATTGTTGTTGACTTTGTTGCCGGCTTTCCGCAACAATTCATTTTCCCCCAGTTTGATTGAATCATGTCGCGGGGATTTTAATGCAATTTTCCCAGTCCAAGAGCCATTTAATTGGAATTCCAATTTGGTAGCTGCAGAAAATAAAAAAAAAATCATCCGCAACCACAACAACCGACAGCGGCGATAAAATTGTTTTTCATCTCATTATTGCAAGTGGTCAAAGTAATTCATAACACACACTCGATATGGAAAGGAGGCGGGCGGGATAGGCTACTGCTCTGGTCTGCGTTTTTCCGCCAGCTTTTCACACGCCAGGGGAATAATAATTTATCATTTCGATTAATGGAGGTTCAACCGCGTTGCGGATTTAGGGTTAGGATATATATATATATATATATTTAATTCATATAAATTTCATTTGCCATTTTCCATCCATACATATACTTATTTCCCGCAGTGTATCATTTAATTGCAAAGCACTTAATTTAATGACTCTGATTTAAATGATTTTTAATGGTTTTAATATCAATTGCAAGTACTTTCTTGTTATGCACAAATAATATGCAAAATATTCTTAAATTATTGGAAAATTGTTTGATTTCCTAGCTAGACATTTTCCAGATATCACTTCAACCTATCAATATAACCAAGGAAACCTTCAACTTATTCCAAAGACTTATTTTTCTCGAATTCTTGAGCCTGCAACTGAAATAAAACTGAAGTAGGGAAAATCCTTTAAAGCTTTCCACTCAGACAACCTTTCTTACGGCTTTTCCGCACTACCCTTCCCCACCGCTTTCTTCTGTTTTTTTTTTTTCGTTCAACAAATCTCTTCCAACATCTTTCGCCATTTTTCCCCAGCCCAAATTCTAACCCACTCACATTGCAGGAAAATGTGCGGAAAGCAGAGTCAATTTGCTGACTTACATAAAAAGTGCATATGCAACCATCCTGGTCGTCCCGGCTTTTCCGATTTCCCGCTCTTCCGCTGTCCCGCTCTTCCCTCCAAAGGCAGCCCCAGGAAGTGCAATTTCCATATGGGCGCTAGCTGAAAATGTACAACACTTTGCCAGGGATAACTTCGTCCAGTTGGAAAAAAAAACAACAACGAAATAGAAATAGAAAAAAATGGGGGCAGGAACACCCCCGAAAAATACTTGCAAATGCTCCAAATCTCGGAAAGGCCGGGGACAGGAGGTGGCAGTTATATCCTGGCATCCTGGCAATGCCTCCTGGGAATTACCTTGGTTATTGTTTCAACATTTTTATCTGCCCGCCCTCGACAGCCAAAATAAACAAAAAAAAAAAAAAAAGTAAAGAGGGAACAGGTGGAACTTATCCAAAAAAACAAGAAAAAAAGAGTGGAAAACTAGGGGCTTAGGACCCCAAAAACAGATGAAAAAATATGGATGAGGGGTGCATTACATATGCCACGAGTGCGTTTGGGCATAAATCCCAATTTAATCCATCCGGCTTTTAGTTTCCTACATTTTCTATCTCTATTTTTCCAAGTCTCCCCTCTTAATATAGTAACTATCCCCCCCTTTTTTCGACGGTGCGAGTGTTTTTGCAGGACTAAAAATCCATTTTTGGCTTAGCTTTTCCTTAAATTGTTGTGCATTTTTTATAGAGATTTTTTATAAATACTTCCTTTTTATATTTACTTCAAGTTTTCTCTCTTTCTTAGTTGCAAAAATTGGTAAAGCTTCTTAATACATCTTCAAAAACTATTTTACAACCTTTAAACATAATTATTAAGACTCTTTGAGTTGTAAGAACTTCGTTTAAACATAAAAAAAGTTAAGAAAACACTTTAAAAGTTTAGTTTAACTTACACTCAAGTAGTAATTTGCCTTTTTCTAAGCAGGTTCCACATTTTCCATTATTTTTCTTAACTAATTTAACAAATTAGAGCAGGCACACTTCGTTGTTTCTAAATACTGTGAGGACTTCGTTGCACTGCTACGTTTTTATTATATTTTTTTATGTTTTTTTGGCATCCTCCTGCCAGCCTCTAGCACTCCCCAATGAGTTTTGCTGAAAACTGTTTGCTGGTTCGCTGTCCGAGGCAACATTTTGGTGTTTCATGTTTTTGTATTTTATATTTCCACCTTTAAAATGCTTTTCGTGGACAACGGTCTGCCTACCTGCCGCTAAGCTGCGTTTCAGAACAATAAAAGATAGGCCGACCTAATCCCATGGGATTGCCATTGCCCCAAAAAAAAAAAAAAACCCTGGCATTTCAGTATTTCCCTGCAATCTGCCACTGCCACAGCCGCGTCTGCTGCTGCTGTATTCGTTCGATTGTTTTCATTGGAATAGAAACTTATCAGTATCAGTTGGCCTCTGAAACACAATCGTGGCACAAAAAGAACACAAATGGCATTACATGGGGTGGGGAAACTTTGATAGGCGCCAGCGATCGCGATTGTCGAACAAGCGATTGAATCACTCGGCGGCAACAACTCCGATATGCAATCAAGGTCAAAGGTTCAACAGTAGAAGCGGAGAGAAAGGCATCCAAACGACCATCTGATATCCATCAGTTCATGTTATAAAGAATTTCGAGATATTTCTATATAGATTTGTTCTTTTATAACAAATATTCTCTCCAAAAGTCGACTTCTTGATACTCATTAAAGTTTCATAAAAATTAAGTTGTTAAATTAAACTGAATTTGATATAAATACTTATTTATAGGGTAAAAAGGGAAAGACAAAGACAAGCTGTAAATATTTATGACTAGAAAGAGACGGCAATCAAAGAGAATGTCAGCAAGTGAGTGACTAAGCTTTGACCTCTCTTTCTTTGGCCCTCGTCTTTCTCTTTCACCAACTTAGTTTTGTAACCCATTCAACTTGTCATCCATTTTCGCTTATCAATTCCACTTTCAGTTTCCATTTTCATTTTTCCAGCTCATGTGAATGCGATAAGCCTGTTGCTGTCTCTTTCGCTAACAAACTAACCATCTCTTTCTTTATTCCTGGCTGAGGCACATGGAAAATGTTAGAAAATTGCACTTAAATATGAATATTTGTAAATATTTATTACTATCGCCTAATCTTAATCAACATAATATGATAAAATATTAATATAAAATATTATATTAATTTAATATTAATCTAGTAACTGCAGCTCCCTTATTTTTGCACAGTGCATATAAGAAGCTTTTCAATTAGCTTTGGGAAAATAAAAACAACTCGAATCCAACGAACTCAACACATTGAAATGCATTTTCGACTTTTCGACAACAAAGTTGAAGTCAAAGTTTAGTTGAAGGCCAACTGCAGCTTAATTCTTCTTCTTGTCAGCCTTTTCAGCTTCTCCTTCTTCTTGTTTTAGCCAAAGAGAAGCCCCAAAAAATGCAGGCACCATAAATGCACAAAAAGTAAGCTACGAGACATACGTATATAGCCTTAACAAGAAAAAAAAAAGAAAGAAAACCGCCTGTCGAGACACATTTCAGCAATAAAAGCAAACTGCGAAAGAAGTGGAAAAATATAAGAGAGAAAAATAAACAACAATAAGTGCAACAACAATACAACAGCCAGCAAATCACGGCTGTAGAAGAAACAGAAGAAGAAGAAGCGCCAACCAGGTAATCAGCACCACCAAAATGGCACAGTGGGTCAGAAAGAAAGGCAACAAACGAGGCCCACTGAGACGACAATAACTGCAAATTTATGATTAAAAATGCAAAATTTGAAATAAATCCTTTACATACGATACACTGATAAAAAAGAGACTCAAATTGACTAATATAGAGATAATGTAAATCAATATGTGGTTACTTTTAAGTGAGACTAACTACGTAGGTTAGTCATACATATTAATATTTGTGATATTTCAGAAATATAGTGCAACCACATATTAAGATAAAAATTAAGTGAAATAATTTTTTACATTTTAAGGTGGCCAAATTAATAAAATTTTTAACTTAATCTGCAATTTATTATATAATTAATTATTATTTAAATTGTGAAATTAAAAACTTAAACTTAATTTTTCCTGTTTAAAATGACAAATTTGCCCAATAATTAACTCTACTTTGGATAAATTTACAACTATATATAAATTTTTAACGTAATTTCCCACATTTCGACCCACTGTGGCCACAGGAAGCCGGCAAGAAGAAGCATTTGGAGGGAAAAAGCGAGCCAAACAAAAGGTAAAATATATGTAGCTGAGCAGCTGCTGCTTTTCCCTGCTTTTTGCTTATGCTCTGCGATCGCGTTTACCTGGTGTATCCCTTATTTCACCTCTTACCTCTCACCTACCCCTCCCCATTTCGGTTACCTGTTCGCTTTTGAGGAAGCAAAGGAAGGAAGGGAGGAGAGGAAAGAACGGGGAAGAGGCAATAAACCTGCTGCAACGAGCCGAAAAATTTGCATCAGCAGTGAAAAAGGGGAGGAAATGGGAAACAAATGCATTGAAATTCCCAGGCATTTATGAGACATTTTTATAATTTTGAAACGAAATACAAACTGAGACAAAATGCAATAAAATTGTGTGGTACGGATAATAATTATAAAAACATATGTAAGGGAAACCCAAAAACTGATAAACACCAAGAAATAATCGTAAAATTCGTCATTTATCATTTCACATCACAGTTTTCTGCATAGTTTTCGCATTTCCATTATTAATAAACCAAATATACCCCCATTTTTCGAAGTGTATAGGTTGCAAATAGATTATCTATCTAAATGCGGGTGGGTGGCAGGTAACAACACTGAAATAATAATCCGGAAATTTCCACACGGCGCAAGCCAAAACCGGAGAAAAGAAACCCAAAGCCGAACCAAATCGAAAACAAACAAAATGCAAGCCAAAACAGAAACAGAAATTGTCCCCCGACCAAAAGCCAACAGTTGGTTCATATTTTTTTTCCGATTTTGTTTGTGCATGTAAAAAAAAAAAAGCAGTGAAAGTTCTCAGCGAACGTGTCGCAACATAATTAAACATGGAAACAGCACCAACGAACTTACCTCACTTCCCGTTGAATGTAATTCCAATTAATTGCGCGTTGAGGCGAAATCCAATTCCATTTGATTCTTGAAATAAAAACCAAAAAAAAAAACTCAGAAACAAAAAAAAAAATGATTAACAAAAACTTAAAACGGGGATTTTTCTGCACAATTTCACAATATCTGTACGTATGCGATTTTTTGTGATTTTGCATTTTATTAACCTGTTTTTAGGTTTAAATTAGGTTATTTATTGAAATTCACTTTTAAAAAATATTTTATAATTGTTTGATATCATTTTTGGATCATATTTTTTCATTTCTTACATAAAAATAAATAAAATGTACATTATTAATGTTAATAAAAATGTTGTTTCATTTAATTTAAGTGATTATTGTGTTTTGTCGTGAGAAATATTGAAACAATTTCAGATTTTAAATGGTTTTTCCATTTCAAGACTTTAAATTAAATTATTTATTTATTGTTTATGGGCTTGTTGCTGCTATTAAATCATCTTTAGCTCTTTGTTAACTTGTACAAAACTTAATAGTTGGTTAAATTATAGTATAAAAATCACTGTTAAAGACATTCATTAGCATTTTTCTTAATTATTGTTTATTTCTTATTTTGTTGAATTTTTTTGCTGAAAATTTAACCTTTCTTGTCAGATTATGGTATTTAAATCACTTTTATTATTGTTTTTATCACTTTTGTGAGTATTTTTTTGTCTTGAACTTAGTTTTTAATTATTTTCAACGTTTGTTTGCTTGTCCAAATCAGTTAATTAGTGAGAAAGAGACGGGCAAACGACAACAAACACCTGCAAACGCGCGCAACTTGCACAAACTTGTCGACATTTACCGTTGTTCTGCTGGTGCTGCGCCTGCGCTGCGTCGACGTCAAAGAACGCTGCAACTTGCAACGTTTTTTTGTTTTATTTTCTTTGATTATTTTGTTGCCTGCGCGTGCGTGCAACTCATAGCACAGAAAAAAAAAGCGTAACGAAAACAGAACAAATCCACTGAAAACAAACTCCGCTAAAAGAAACCGACGGATAACAACGAAAAAACAACGATAACGGAGAGAAGATGCGAAACAACCGCAACGATCGACGATCGAAAACAAGATACTGAAGAGTGACCGCAATGCGTAGCATGGAATATACCAAGGAATTTATTAAAATGTACTAAATAATATCTGCGATGTATATAGCCAAGATCGGCACCCAAGATCGTGATTGTAGGATAAGTTTGTTGGCGGGGTTTTAGTTTAGGACATTTAGCTATTTTTAAAAGCGATTAGTTTTTGGATATTATAATATGTTCTGACCTAAATTTTAAATAATGTGCATTAATCATTTTTAATATAGTTATTTATTTTTAATAATAAAATTAAATAAATTATGATAATAAATAAATAATACATATTTATAGATAATATAATAATAATATAATAAAGTACAAGTAAATTATTAATGAATTTCTTAAAAATAAAATTGTTTTCTTTAAAGGCTTTTTGAATCTTATTATATAAAATATTTATAAATTTATTTTTAAATTTAGCTACTTTTGGTGATCTAAATTTGCCATCACTAAAAATTTTAGAGCAGCACTGTCAGTGGTCCGGCAACTCTGCAGCCAGCTGTTTAAAAACTTTGCAAATTATTTCTGAAACAAAAGCTTGGAAAATTAATTTTTAAGTAAAACTACATTCAATTTAAAATAACGACCTATGAGCTTGCTTTGCCAGCGTCTTGGTGCATCCTTTAGGCCCATTTCCCGCATTTTCCATCCACTCGTAATTCCAGAAATTAAACAGAAACCAGTGTCACCTTTGGAAACCAAGCGATTTTACACCGGTAATAAGATGGACTTAAAGTATCTTAACCAAAAAGAGGCCATCGACGTGGACCAGGAGCTCTTCAATGAGTACAAGTTCAGTGTGGATCAACTGATGGAACTGGCGGGACTGAGTTGTGCCCACGCTGTGGCCAAATGTTTCCCGGCAGAGAAGCATCCTCGGATTCTGGTTTGTTGTGGTCCAGGAAACAATGGAGGTGATGGCTTGGTGGCCGCTAGGCACCTTTCCCTGATGGGCTATACACCAACCATATACTATCCCAAGCCCACACCGAAGCCCCTTTTCGAGAATCTCAGCCACCAATGCCAAATGATGGAGATTCTCAGTGTCAAAGAGTGTCCCTCGGTGGAGAGTGCATCCTGTGACTACGACCTTATTGTGGACGCCCTTTTTGGTTTCAGTTTCAAGCCACCCGTTCGAGCGGACTTCGTCGCCGTTGTGGAACTTATGCAGCAAACCAAACTGCCAATTGCAAGGTGCGATGGGTTCAAAGTTCATATAAAGATCAGGGTTCACATCAGTTATTCTATTCATTAGGAGGGATTAGGAGGATTGGGCTTACTATCCAATAGTCAGGCTATTCTGTTCATTATTTTCGAAATACACCATACCTCCTGCCTAAACCGATTCTCGATCCCCATAGCATGGAAAAGAAATGTCTCTTTATGTATGAAATCGTTTACTCAGAACACCTCACTTTATTGTCATACACACACAGATCCATGAATAATGGAGACAAGCTTGTATCTTCTTTGAAATCTTTTCCAATTCGAGTTGCCTTTACCCAATTACTATGTGAATGCCATTTGCATTTTGCATAAATCCATCTTAAAAGGCGGATGAAAATCGAAAGCTCTAGAAATCTTACAAATATCCAGAAAACTGAAACCGAATTAGCCAAGAACCTTTTATTCAAAGATACGAAATCAAAAACTAATCATACAATCTCCTTGCAGCGTGGATATTCCAAGCGGCTGGGACGTGGAGAAGGGAAAAGTGACTGAATGCGATCTGGAACCAGCTCTGCTTATATCTCTGACTGCCCCGAAACTGTGTGCCCGTCACTTTCGTGGGGAACATCACTACCTGGGCGGCAGATTCGTACCTCCCGCCCTGCAGCGTAAATATGGACTGAATCTGCCCTTGTATCCGGGCAACGAGCTGTGCGTCAAGCTGTGATTTATACATTTATACGATTTCCAAATAAAAAATGGAATTCTAAGCTACAGTCTTTGGATAGTTGTATGGCCAAAGGTGTGACATTGCAAAAGTGAAAGGTCTAATTTGGACAAAAAACCTGGTAAATGAAAATCTTTACTTGAAAGAACTAATCATTAAAGTTTGGTAATGTAAAGAAAACATAAGTTTCGATGTGGGTAAAGTTTCCTAAACAGGAACCCTTAGTGAAAATGATTAAAAGTTCGGTAAATAGTTTGAAAAATAGTTTATTTCTATTCAAAAAAATGTTTATAAATATTTAAAACAGTTTCTCTGGTCAAAAGCTTAAAAGTTGTAGCTCAGCTTTTGCCTTGTAAAGGTTTAGAAATGCATTTATTTCATCTAAAGATTAAGGTTCTCCCTTGTTTTTTTATTTTATATATTACAGATTATATAAAGTCTAAAATTAGAAAGTCAACAAAATGTTATTAGAGATATTAATACCATCTTGCCAAGTAGTAGTTTCCCAAATGCCTATTTATACAAGCGATTGTAATTCTTGCGCCGGCGGTCCTCCTCAAAGTTGTTGTTCCTGGCCCACTCCTTGAGGTTTCCCTTGGAGCGCAGCATAGCGGACTTGGAGTCCACATCGCGCAGTACGAAGGGCGAGAACCCAGAGGTATAATCCTGATCCAGAGCGTTTGTCTTGGTCTTGGCCACGCGCGATGGCATTTGCCTGGGCATGGGCTGATCTTCGAACAGGATCGGGTTCCTTGAGTGCTTGCCGCCCTGGAAACGCGGCAGACTCTGGTTCTTGTACTTGTTGGTCAGCGGCCGGCGCGTATTGATGTGTATCACCTGACGGCCGTTCTCGTCCAGACTAACAGCCACCCTTTTCAGTGTTTTGTTGCCGCAGTTGGGGCAGAAGACCTTGGTCATGATGCTGGTGGTCTTATAGCAGGCATAGCAACGCAGTATGTATGTGCGTAGCTGCTTGATGATCCTGCCATTCAGGGCGGCCAGGTGCAGATTGAGCTGCTTGAGGACATTCTGTAAGGCGTAATCGGTGGTCATGCAAGCCACGGGCGGTACTTCGTCGGTTTCCACTTTGCCTTCTAGGGCTTTCTTGGCCTTCTTGATATTGGAGTGCGTGATCCAGCCATCATCACCCACTTCCTCCTCGAGATTTTGGCTTTTGATTGGCTCTTGTGGCTCTGCCTCTTCTGTTTCTTCTTCTGCCGGCTGGGAAACAAGCAGTTCCGAAAGCTCCTGTTCTTCCTCGGCGCTGGGTGCGCATTTGAGCTTCTCGAACAGCTTGTCTAGTTCTTCCTGACTGGGCTCCTGATCCTCCTCAAATTGGACAGATTGGCTGTTTAGGGGTTTCTTGCCAGCTAATTGAGCTTCAATGGCTGCCTTAACAGTGTCTTCTTCGCCTTCTGGCTGATCGTCTTCTTCCTCTGCGCCATCATCCTCCTCCTGGGAGTCTTCTTCCTCCTCCTCGGAGTCTTCCTCTTCTTCTCCTTCGGGCATATACCAACCAACAAGCCTCTTGTTACTAGCATCCTGCATTTCCTCGGGTTTCTCCTTGGAAGCGATAGTTTGGGCCATTACGGGTTCTTTGCGCAGATGGTCGGTTCCTACGGTATCCGCCTCCAGTTCGTAGGTGAGCGAGATGACCTTAAGATCGATCCCCGAAAGACTCGCATAGTCACCGGTCCGTTTGGCGAACTCCACGCAGTGTTTGATGCTCTCAGGGCGCGGCTCGCGCACCTGTAGGTCAAATGGCAGGACGCAGAGGCGACGTATCTGACGCTTGTTGCGCACCTCGGCTACCACATCTGGCACGGTAAGCACCTGCTCCGCATATTCCTGGAGATGATTGGTGTTGGGGTTTAGATGGGTTTAGATTGGGAGAATCTATGGATAACATACGTTCAGGGGCACGGCGTTAATAAAGGCAGTGGTGTCCGCCACCAGGAACTTGATCTTTCCGCTCGTCTCGGCCATTTTTCGGGGTAATTCTCACATGAAAAACAAAACACGGCAAGGAAAACAATTCAGCACGTGTTGGGAATAGTGTGACCGTTATGTGTCAGTTAGAAATTATCCTAAAAATGCCAAAAAGTATTTACTATCGGGATAGAAATTTAATTTTATTATTTAATAAATATTTTATTATATTCACTATTGATGACATTACTTTATACATACATATCATAATATTATATATATTTTTTTTGTCAATTTATTTCTGCAATTAAAACATTACAAAAAGAGTTTTTATTACATTACATTTATTAGTTTTAATTGAAATTATTTAAAAATTTCAGAGGTTCGATAATAGATCATTGAAATCTCAACAAAAAGTAATTTTAGTTTTGGCTTTTGTATTATCAGAGGTTCGATAATAGATCATTGAAATCTCAACATAACGTAATTTCAGTTTTTATCTTTTGTAAGTTAGGTTAATATTCATGTTTTTGAAATGTATTGATTTATTATTTGATATTGATTAAATTAATGACTATTGTATGTATAATTGTAAAAATATTTCAAAGTGTATACTTTGAATTTGATCTTATTTCAAAGTGTATACATTATTTTTTCATCACCACAGCGCAGGCACACTGTAACTCCCCTGCGGCAAGTGCCATCACTAGTTTTCAAGCCAAAAATGGCGAAGTTTTCATTCTCATTTCAACTAGATTGCGAGCGTACATTCTAAAAAGTGAACGGAATTATCACAACGGGATTGTTACGCCGGATTAAGTGAAAAACGAAAACTAGTGCGGCATCCGTGATCCGGCATCGCAAAAGGCCGAATGTGGGGACATTGGCCACCGACCGCCGTAGCGGCTCCGATATCTGCACCTCCTCCGCAACCGTCGGCCCCACCGCCGCTGCCAGATGCCCCGCCCCCTCCACCACCCGCTGACGCGTCTTCGGGAGCAACCGCTCAGCCGGCAGTTGCAGGAGTAGGTCCACCACCCAATACCACTACACCATCGACCAATGATGCGGCTGCCTTCAACCCCTATGTCAGCGGACAGGCCACAGCTGGTGGGGCCGGGGCTGGTAACCCCTACGAACAGTATACGGCCGCGCAATACGCAGCCATGACCCCGGAGCAACAATACGCTCTGCAGCACCACTGGCATCAGTGGCAGACCTACCAGGCGGAGTACGCTAAATGGCATGCCCAGTACGGCGAACAGGTAATTTTTTTTTTAAGTTCCTATTGGATCCCTTTTGTTAACCCCTTATCAATATCCAGTACAAACGTGAAATGGCCGCCGCCGCTGCCGTAGCCTCGAGTTCCACTGTCCAAGGTGTTCCCGCACCCGTGCCAGCGGAACCTGCGCCAACTCCCGCCCCTGTGGTCGCTGTAGCCCCTGTGGTCGCTGTGGCCCCTGCCCCAGGGCCACAAGCCTATCCCGTCTCTCAGAACTATTACCAGGGCGTTACTGTCTCACCGGCTCCTGCGACCACACCGAATCCCATCCCAGTTGGGCAACCGGTGCCAGGTAAGATTACGGCCCAGCCGCAGATGTACAACCAGCCGCCGCCGCCGCCACCTCAAAAGTCTGCCTACGACCAGTCAATTCAAGGCATGTGGCCAGGACCACCATCTATGCAGCAGCCACCGCCCAACAGATACGGTGGCGGGCCAATAAATCCGATGACCTACAATAATGTCGGATCGGACAACCATGGCTTTCCAAATCTCCAGCAGCCACCTCCTTCGCTGCAGAGACCTCCACCACAGCAGCCGCCAAACATGATGGAAAACCAGTGGGGAAATGGCAATCCCCGCAGTGGAGGTAACAATAATCGTCCTCTCTGGGATCCAAGTGGTCCACCGCCCGATACTTCCGTACCACCAGGTCGCTGGGATGGGCCACCGCCACAGAACAATCGCTGGAATGGACCGCCACCGGTAAACAATAGCAATGACAACAATGCCCGTTGGGATGGGCCATCCAATCAAATGCCGTCTGGTTCAGATCAGCAGCATAACCGCTGGATGAGCGGACCACCGCCCGGCGATCATAGTGTCAATCAGCAGTTCCAGAATCGCTGGATGAGCGGACCTCCGCCGAGTTTAAAGGATCCCCAGCAGGATAATCAGCAGCAGCGTCAAAGCAATACAAGCCAGCTACAGAATCGCTGGCCAAAAAATAATTCCGATATGGACGGACCACCAATGGAGGCTAACAGCAAGCAGAACAGTTTTCTGAGCAATCGAAGCAACTGGGGGCCACCGGACGAACGAGGTGGAGGAAGAGGAGAAGGCACTTCTAATTCATTCAACAATAGCTCGCAGTTAGATTTTAACCAAGATCGGACGGGCAACTACAACAGCAACTTTGGCAATAGTTACAATAATAAGGAGCAGGGTGGTGGTGGCGGAGGAGGAAGTAACTTTAGCAGTGGCGGAGGCAGCTTTGGCAGTATCGGTGGAGGCCTCCAAGGCCGGGATAATTTTGGTGGCAGAGGAGGAGGACCTGGACCAGACAATTTTGGCAATAATAATAATCGTCGTCAGACCAACCGTTGGGAAAATAACCGCAACCAAAACCAGGGATATTCAGATGAGAGAGGAGGAGTTGGTGATTCCGGTCCAGGAGGCTATAATCAAAATCGAGGAAATTTCAATCAACGGAACAACTTTAACCGTAGCCAACAACAGGGTTCCGACCTGGACGAAGCCAGCTTCGATCGCCTGTTCGACCAGTGGGAGCAGCAGTTCGAGGACTGGAAACGGGCTAATGCCAATCATCCCGATCGCGATGAGTATCGCCGCTATGAGGAAGAGTTCGAGAAACAGCGCCGTCGCATTGTGGATAGAAGGGAGCAGATGCGCCGGCGTCGCCAGCAGCAGATGGGTGGTTCGACAGGACCAGGATCCTCTACAGATGTACAAAAAGAAAGTTCTGGGCCACCGAAACCCGAGGAACAAGAGAAAAATGATGAACCATTCAGAGGTCCAAACAAATTCGGTGACAAGGGATCTGGACCCAATTTCGGACATGGCAACAGACCACCTGGGCATCCTGGCCCATTTGCGAACGAGAATCACGCCTTCGAAAGCGCCGGAGTTCCTGCCTTTAGAGCCAACCAAGGGCCACCACCAGTAATGCAGAATCAATACCAAACCACTCAGCAAACCATCCAAGAGAAATTGGACACACAGCCAGGACAAGAGAAGTCCAAGGATGACCAATCATCTGTTTCAAATGTAAATGCTACTGCTGCCGTTACGCCAGCTCCCCCAGTAGCTCCTCCGGTCCTTCCGCCGCCCGAAGTTGCAGCTCCAGCTGCACCAGTGGTGTCAGCGCCGGCTCCACCAGTGATGCCAGCTCAACCAGTGCAGCCTCCTTCGACATCCAATCACCTCGGTAAGCGCCGGAAATCTCCTGGACCTAGCTCTACTCCTGCTAAGCAGGCCAAAGAACCGGAGGAGCCAATATTTACCATTTCCCTGGACGACGACGACGACGATGACGAAGAAGAGGAAGCTGAAAAGTCCGTTGAAGACACGCCCATGGGCAGCATCTTTAAGAAGAGCGACGGCATCCCTGGTCTGGATTTGGTTGACGATGGAGCTGACAAGAATCCATCGTCTGTGTTTGATGTGGGGGCCAAGGATTCAGACGAAAAAGTAACTAATGACGCTTCTGTAGCCAAGGATGATTCTTCGGACAAAAACAACGAATCGCTAAGCAAAGCCCTCAAGGACCCGAAGTTTCTCAACAATCTCACCCAGGCGGTGGCAAATGTTCAGGAGCGCGAACAGCGTGGTCGGCTGAATGAGCAGGAGGATCAGGAGCAACAGCAACAGCCACAGCAACAGCAACAGAATCGGGAAACGGAAACCGATGGACGTCCATTGTCGTTCGCCGAGTGGCAGCGCCAGAAGAATGGTGGAAACGATTCTAGGTCGCAGGATTCCCGCGACTCGACAAGTCAGAATGAGAATTCCGCTGACAATACTGACAACAAAGGCCCGCCAGGGCAGGCTCAAGGCGGAGGCCCGGGTTCTGGTCCTGGGCCTGGTCACCGAGGTCAGCCAAATTCTGGACCTGGTCTAGGTCCTGGTCCCAACGACGGATCCCGCTTTGATAACTTTGGATCGAATCAAGTGCCTGGCGGCAACTTTATTGACTTTGACAATGGCCCCGGTTATGGTCCACCTGGCAGAAACTTTGGACCCAACGGGCCAGGATCACGCGGACCACCCCCCTTCGGACCAAACTTTGGTCCTGGTCCAGGAGGACCGCATTTTGGACCCAATGGGCCCGGTCCAGGAGGCCCGCATTTTGGCCCCGGTCCAGGATCAAACTTCAGGCCTAATGGTCCCAACTTTGGTCCGAACTTTGGACCGAATTTCGGTCCGGGACCAGGTCCTCGTAACTTTGGACATCGCGGTCCCGGTGGTCCGTTTGGACCTCGACGCGATGACTTTGGCGGCCCGCCGTTTGGCGGTCCAGGACCCAATTTTGGACCAGGAAACGGTCCCAACCATCGGGGATTCAATGGCGGTGGCGGTGGTGGACCAATCAGTGATAACCCCTTCCGCCGTCAGGGCGGAAAACTAGGACCAGCATTTGGCGACGATGACCTTGGCGCAGGACCACCAAGAGGTCCCAGGAATTTCCCCAACCGCAACAACTTTGGCAGTCCGGGAGGACAGAACAACAATCGGAAGAACTGGAATGACGGGTATGTGTCCTCCATCCGTTTCTAAGTTTTTGACTTGATTAACTCTTTTTTCTAAATGTATAAACTAAATATAACTTGACAAACAAAGGGGGGGAAAAGGGGGAAGATTCTTCTTTCCCCTTAACACTTTTACTATTGAAATCCAAAATCAATTGTCTGATTGCCTGATAAAGATATATAGGGGGCATTATCTATTCAAAGATTGCTTTTACTCTCTCTCTCTGTCTTCGGATTAGTGTATAATCGTCAATTATGTTCGATGATTTGGGAAATTCTAATTAGGGTTGCATGATAACAAATTCTCTGTAAAAAGGTTTCGTAATTAATTGTTTTTGGAACGGTTAAGCTGCTATTTGCAATTATAAATCATTTCTTATGTGTTTTTTTTATACATAATAATAATAATAATAATCGTTGAGGAAAACCCAAAAAGAAAATATGTTTGTCCGTTTTGTTTGTTAACCAAACTGTGTGTTCTCCTTACTTCCTATGTCTAAGAATCCGTGTGAGTCTGTTTGAAATTCAAAAAAAAAGGATTTATATGGCTTTCCTTTTAAGAGAATTCCCCTTTCCCGCTCTTTGTCCACTCTTCTCTATCTCTATCTGCATCGATATCATCCAATATTATGTAGATTACTTGTCCAGGCCTTTTTCTAGTTATCGTTAATGCTGGAATTTCGATTCCAACCCCGTTTTTTCTTCTTCTCTTCTACTTCTATGCAAAACTGAAAAAAATACTGAAATACAAAAAAAAAAAAAAAAAAAAAAAAATCATATAATTTAAAAAATGTTACAAACCAAAACCAAACAAAAAAAAAAAAAAAAAAAAAAACCAACATAAAAACGATTATGTAAACGATGGTATTTGATTGTTGGCGATGCCCCCCGATGGTATATCCACCGATCTCTGTCTATGATCATTAATCATTGATCCATCATTGTCTGAGCAGCAAGAAACGGGGGCGGTAAATACCTCCAGCAACAGCAGCAGCAGCAGCGCAGGAACTTAACTCTGAGTTTAAGGGGCGTCTATCGAAAGGGGCAGACATATATATATATCTCAGATCCCAGATTCCAGATACCAAACCTGGAACTGGAAATTAAGCATACACACACACATCTGCCAGATCCACAGAAAACGAATATGAAATCGAAAATGCATCATTAATAAGGCTAACTTTCCTGCCCGATTTTAGTTTTTACCTATTTATCTTTGATTGGAAAATTCATTTATATATATATATAAAAATATATTCTCCCCTTTAAGTTACATTCCTTGTTTTTAAAATTGAACATTTTATGAGTTAAATTTGAAGTCAAGTTTGATGCAAAGCTTAGTTCTTCTATAGCCTGAAATTATATAGATCGTATATAAGCTATAGTTTAATCTTTGCTATGAATTTAATATCAAATAAAGGATGGTAAAACACAATCATTGTTATTTGGAATAAAATAATATCTAAGCTAAGGCAGATTTTTGGCCAGTCGTCCGTCTGATTCTTAACCTCTTACGCTGTTTCTTATACTTTTTGACATATTTCCGATTGCTTAACTTGGGTTCTGGTTAATTTTAAAGAATATTTATTTTAAAATACTGTCATTCGTCTAAGTCTTGTTCACAAAATATTATACAAAAAAAAAAAACTGAATAAACTGAATGAATATGAAATTACCATCGACCATTATTGGTTATTGTTTAGTAAACCAAAAAAGAAGTCTTAAAACTTGAAAAACGCACTCTATGAGGTTTCGATATAAAACTACAATTTGTCCGCTTCTTGTTATCCGATTTTAAAGTTTTCATTTTGGATATTTATAACAATGAAACTATGATTCTTAAATGGTTTAATCTAGAAAATTATAGTTACTTAATGAATATATATAATAATTTATTCAGGCAAGCCAACGTTTCTCCGATTTCTCCGACTTAAACTCACACTATTTGTCCGATAAACACTCAACAGTGTCTGCCTTTAAAATGAAAATAATAAAAATAGTTAACTACCTTCTATGTCCGCTTTATTTTAATGATACCACAAGGGGTCCGTTAATGAGTCTATTTAAAGTGATTTAATTTGCAATCCTTTAAGAAATTTAGTAAACAATTTTAATATTAAATACTTTGTCCGCTTATTACTTTCTCTGGCTTTACCATTTCCCAAAATAAAACCACAATTTGTTCGATTTAGCAAAGTAAATATGCAAATATATAGAAAGTTTTTAAAAAATATATACGATATATGTCTAATGTCCTAATTCCTTTTTTATGATAAGGATAATCCTTATGATTAGTTTAAGCTTAGGCCCAAACTATATACGTACGTATAAAATTTATGCTCGTTTGCAAATTTTTGGTCAGAGCGGGACATGTACTTAGATTGTGCAACCGCCCCTCTGGCCCCCGCCCCCAACTGCCACGCCCTCTATCTTAACTGACCAAAAAAAAACAAAAAAAACTATTTTAGTAAATTTCAACCGAAGTAAAAGTTCAAGTGTTTTTCTTTTGGTTTTTAAACATTGAAAACCTCTAAAAAAAAAAAAAATTTTTTAACTAAAAACAAAATTCCAAAAACTATAAAAAATAAATTTAAAAAAAAATATCTACAAAAAACTGCTACCAAAAATCAAATCCAACGAACCTAACAAAACGATATACTAAAAACGCCAATGGTGTGTTCCACCCACCGCCTTCCATCAACTGAAAAATCAATTTAAAAACTAAAGGCCGGAGCATCAGTACCTCCCCTTCAGCCATGACAGCCAGAATGAGCCCATCTATCGACCGATGAAGGTGTTCGACTATTCCAATAACCCAACGGCTACCAAGGTGATCGATTATGGCCACAAGTCGGGCGATGGAAATCTCATCGAGGGGGCTTCCAGTCCCGTTCCCTCTGACCAAATGCCTGAGTTTAGACCGGTGAAGACCTTTGAGTACGGCCACTCCTCGTTTCTGGGACAAAATCGCATGGGAATGGGTGGAGGAGGAGCAGGAGGAGGAGGAGGAGGAGGGAGGAGGTACAAACCATGGAATGATGGGAGGGCCAAATCGTGGAATGGCAGCAGGAACTGGAAACTTCAAGCGAAAGAATAAAAAAAAGAACAAACAGCTTAAACAGCAGGAGGAACGATTGTCCCAACAGCAAGTCGGACTGCTGCAATCGGAATCCATTGAAGAAAACAGCTCTTCAAATCCCGAACAGGATGAGGTAAGTGGTCAGCCGAATGTTGGAAGCCTAGACTTAGGTCGCTAATCCTGCCAACGATTTCCTTAGCAGCAGCAGCAGCAAGCCCACTATGAATGCAAGGATCAGGGCGATGAGTTCTCAGGAAAGAAACCAAATGATCTCGAGGATATATCCGATGGCGAAGAGTAAGTCAAAGAATGGTTTAATCCTTCTTAAGCTGGTTGTAAACGTTGCAGCCGCTCCATCGTTCACAATCAGCTTTCTGTGTTTATAAAATCAAAAACTTGCATCTTATCTCTTTATATTTTGCCATTAGTAAACTGGATTACCCTGACGATAACGACGATATGCCACCACCGCCATCAATGAACAAATGGAACCAAGGCAATGTCCAGGAGCAGTTTGATCAAAATCAATTAATATTCAACGCCAATCCGGAGCGCGGACAGTTTGGCGGGGAGAATGAATGGTCGGAACCACCGCCGGCAACCATGTCACTTTTCCCCTCCGCGGCCAATGCCAATGATAAAGTATCTAATGCTGGGACAGCTTCCCATCTTGAGATGTGCATTCCAACCAACGAGAATCGTAATACCATCTCTGTGGACGAGGTTCTCTTGAATCCCGGTCGCCTGACCCGACCCAAACGCATTTGCATCATTTTGCGAGGTCCTCCTGGCTGCGGCAAATCGTACGTGGCGCGTCTCATCAAGGAGAAGGAGCTGGAGATGGGCGGTGCCAATCCGCGCATTCTCAGCATCGATGACTATTTCATCATAGAAAACGACTACGAGGAGAAATGTCCCAAAACGGGCAAGAAGGTTAGATTAACTGAAATGTGCTATAGGAAAGTTGTTTCTAACCTTTTTAATTGCAGATACCTAAAAAAGAGATCCTGTACGAGTTCGATGACAGCATGGAGGAGACCTACATGCAATATCTCATTAAGTCCTTCAAGAAGACGCTCAGCGACAATCTGTATGATTTCGTAATTGTGGATTGCAACAACAACTCGCTGCGCACGTTGAATGAATTTTATTGCAACGCCAAAGATTCTAATTTTGTGGTGGGTCATGATCACAAAATCGATATTTTATCTTTAAGGATATATGAATATGTATAATTTGTATTTATTATAGCCATACATAGTGGACCTGCACTGCGATCTGGAGACCTGTCAGGGTAGAAATTCGCACCAGCGCACCGAGAGCGAGATCCGGGCGGTGCTGGAGAATTGGTGCCCCACACCGCTGCAGTATATCAAACTGGATGTGAGCACGCTACTCGAAAACGTTGTCGAGATGGAAGACGTTGAGGATATGGCTACGGTAACTATGCGCTAAGGCGGCGGTGCGATGCAACAGTGACTGCTGTGGCCATGTCGCTGCGAAGCTGGAGCCGGTGGGGGCTTGTGGGGCTGGCCAGTGGGTCGTTGGACAGTCCGGAAACTTTAAACCAAAAAACAATCTAGTCATGTTTACAATTTAAGCGATCAATATTAATGAAAATATCTCAAATTCTGACCTGGCCGGGCCAAGTTCTTTACAAAAAACAAAAAAAATGCAAACGCAACTTCAAAGCTATAGGAATGCGCCCTGACCTAGACTAAGCTCTTCACTGGAATCAAATCAAATCTTTATTCTATACACTCAATATATATGATATACCATAACCATTTTATGACAAGCAATATGTGCACACTAGCCTTAGTCTAAGAAGCAATTACGAACTTACGTTTAAGCTTTTAGTAAAGGCAACTCTTGCAAGCTGGCTAAAGCGAACGTTTTGTTGATTTATGGCGGCTTCGTTTCACTTTCAGGACGATAATGCCTGCGCCGGCGATGGGCCAACTGCGGGACCATCAGCGGCATCCGAGGATGCAGCTGTCGAGGGTACAGACGACAGCAATAGCGGCGACGCCTCCAATGATGTAAGTCTTAGCTGTAATTGCATCGACTGATTGGATTCATTTTGTGGCATATGTGTACGTTAGGTGTTGACCGAGAAGAAATAATGGGTTTCTGTATATTTTACTGCTTTTTTGTGACCATTTCCAAGTTTTTAATTATCGTTTGCAGGGAATTATAGTTTTTAATTTGTTTTTTGTTTGCCAGCTTTTGTGGTCTTTGTCAAATGCTTAAGTAACCTTGTGTCTTGCTAGTAATAAAACTTTGCTTGTGAAATTGTGTTTTGCCATTTGGTTAAATGTGATTTTTACAATATTTTATAAACATAAATTAAACAGATATGCACTAATAATAAGATTGTTCAAATGAAGTAAATTAAGTATTAAGCTGTCACTATTTCTTATCAAATTGTTGATAATCATAGACCTGTTTATAGGGTCTAGATTGTACTTATTTATATTTAAAAATCATTAAATATAAAATCCGTTAGTATAAATACTATCGCGCGTTTTTACCATAATTAATCCAGTCAGTCAGTGAAGAAAAAAAAAAAATCAGTAGAATAAGTTAACTGTTGGCTGTGTGGGCTTGGTGTCGGCGAAAAACTCCTCTAAATTTTCCTGAAATTTTCCCATTTCAACCCATTTAATCCGGCTCCCAATCGTGCTTCGTTCTGCCTTTCGTGTGCTTCGCGTGCAGTGCGGCTTCCTGAAAAGCAAATGGGAATGTGACACCACCGAGGATAATCTAGGTGAGTCCCTAACTTTCTTACCTTAGTTACTTCCGCAAACTATAAACTCCTCTGATTTCAGCCCGTTTGGATGGCACCAAGCGCCTGATGCAGAACCGACGGACCGCTAGCATGGCCGATTATCTACAGCTGGAGGATTGGGAACCACGCAGAACCTCGGCCAATGGCAAGAAGATTGTGAGTATAAACTTTAAGTTGTGTTAAGGGATATGAAAAGAAAGTACAAAATTGGCAGAGTTTTATTTTACATGGATGAGAAGAGGATAGCTAGCTAGGATGTTGCTGTCTCTGTTGCTTTCTTGTAGATCATCACATTATATAGAATTTTAGATCTAAGTGAAGATTTATATGACAATTGTTTTAGTTTTTTAATACAGAATTGATTTTGAAATATTGAATTTATGTTTTTTATAAATAATATACATTTTCCTTGTTAAAGTCAGTTCGATTTGTTTACTTTTAAGAACTTATAAAATCGTTTTCTTTTCAAGTTTAGTCTTTTCATCAGATTAACTTAAGTTTAATTGTTTGTTTTCTTTGAAAAGGTTAATATTTTTCATTTATATATTAGATTTTAGATTAAATCACTTAAAATTTAGTAAGAATTTACTTACTTACTTTACAACAGAAGAAGGATATATTTGTATAATGTCAGCAGAGTTTTAAATGGAAATGTAAACTGTATATAACATTACATTCCATTTTAGGCCAACAAAAAAAAACCTTTTAGGCCTTCTTGTTTCTAAAAATCATTTGCTAAAACCTTAAAATCCATTTCAGGTTCGTTGGGCGGACATCGAGGAGAAGCGGTCGCAGGAAAAGATGCGAGCCATTGGCTTCGTTGTGGGTCAGACCGATTGGAACCGCATGATGGACCCCAATGCAGGCAGTCGGGCTTTGAATAAAACCAAATACATTGAGCGTATCAAGCGTCGCTAGACGCCAATTACAGCCACGCAACAGATACAAAAACATAAAAAAAAAAAAAAAAAAACAAAAAAGAAAACTCACAGCATTTCCACGTACCAAACACAGACCATTTCCACATACATACGTACGTATATATCGGGATCAGGTCGCTTTAACAAAAGGCTCAAAGACCCCGAATTACGTCTAATCATCTATCATCCCAATGCCATCAGTATAATTTTGCAACAATCAGTAATTTCTAGTGCTGCATTTACAGAAACGAAACGAATTCAATTTCGTTGGCCCACACGAACATCCGCGTTAGCAAAAACCTAGACAAAATAGAATAAATATGGATGTGTTTTAATTGTAAATTAAATCAATTCGCTTCGAAACGAATGACATCCACCGCTTTTTTTTTGTTTTTTTTTTTTTTTAGTTTTGACAAAATATAAACGAGATGTATATTAACATAATGTTTACCTTAACTTTGCGGGTTCATTGAACTCCTGCCGTCCTTGTTTTCTGCGTGACAGCTGTCTCTGTTGCTCTGTAAACAACCATTGACAGCTGTTCGCTGGGAGGCGGAGGCGTGGATGGTATGGGTTAAGCTTTTGGATGCTGTGCGAGTGTATGTGTGTGTGTGTGTGTGCATCGCACTCACATGCTTGCCAAGGTGAATTACAGATGACGGCTCCGGGCAGAGTTGCACAACATGCGGCGCATATGCAGAGGGGGGAATTGAATCTGGGGGTGGTCGAGGCGATGGATCAGGGGGAGTTGGATCACGAGGAGCAGCACCAGTAGTCACCAATGGCTCGCACCCACTCTCGAGCTCACGAACCCATTGACAGTCAGTGCTGGTTGAAGTCGGAAAAAAGCTAAATAATATCTCGTATTTCATTTAAGTTGGAGGTGAAAAAATGTATCAATCGCGAAGAAACCAACTGCCAGTTTCTTACCAAACTTAGAATGTGAAGTGCTTGTTACTCAAAAATAGTGCGTGTTTTAAAAATGATTTACATAAATAACCTTAATAATTAGATAGTTAATAAGTTAATATACTAGAATTTAAGTTACAATAAACTAAAACTATTTGTTATGGCAAATGATTCAAGTATTGCTTTACCACTATTGCTATTTTTCTCTTTTGTTTTTCAATTTTGTACCATATCTGTCTTCTAACCATATTCCTTTTAGATGTAATAATAAATTAACTGAATATTCTTCAATGCCTTCTGGAGTGCTTCAGAAGTCTAAAGATTTTTTATACATTTTCAAAGGTGTCTGAAATAATATTTATAGTCAAATTGAAAATGTCTGGCAACATTGTTTTTGACACTTTTGCTATTGTATTGAAATCTTCAGAGACTTTTGTTACACAATCTTTAAATTAGTTAAATTTTTTTGATATGTCTCAGACAATTTGAGTTTATTTAGTATTGAGGATGCCAGGGTGATATAAAATCTCCTTCAAAGGTGTCTTAAAGAATACTACTGAGTCTTGAAATCACTTTAGGTTTCTATAAAGGAATCAAAAGGCTTCGTAACTTTACTAAATACTGTAGACACCTAAATTAACACCTAATGATATCAAAACCATTGTAGTTTTCTTTTAAAAACCTTTAAAATCGATTTAATAACTCCTTTGCTGTGGTACCAAGAATATTCTCTCTCATATTTCGTAATGCAGAAATGGCCAGATCTGGCGGGTAAATAGCCGAAGGCCAAGCTCTGGCGGGCGTTTTACCGAGTCCCTGGCACGACGAAGCCGAATTAAAAGCGCTTCAGTTTCAGTTTCAGTCGAGCAACGCAACTCGAACGCAACGGTACATGAACGGCGGACGGCAAGCATACTCAGTGTCCCGTTATCAACAATTCTCCAAACACCGAACTGCAGTTTAATTAAATAAATACTACTACCACATATTTTTTTTTTCAAGTTTTAAAGCATTTAGTAAAAGTTGCTTAAATCCAAATTACAAATTCCTAAATAGTGCGAAAATAACCGAAAATCAGCAGCCGCACTTTGAAGTTACGTCAAAAGGAGTCGCGAAAGAGGAAGAGCGCAAGGAGGCGAGCGGAGAGAAGAGGAGAGAGAATCGAAAAAATAACAACAAAGCAAACGCACGCGATAGGAGTAACTGTAAATGTGAAAGGATAAAATAGGAGAATTTAGAAATCAGCAAAGAACTTTTTGGTTTCCTTTTGTTTTTTGTTTTTTTTTTTTTTTTTTTGGCGCGTTGTCGCCGTTTGCCTTTTGTTTTTATTATTTTTCTCTCTCTGTGTGCCTGTGCCTTTGTTGATTGCTGCCGGCTTTGGCCAAAAGGGAGGGGGTGATAAAGCGAGGAGCAGGAGAGACACCGAACCACTGGGCAACGACGGCTTATGTAAAGCGTGCTTTAAGCGTGCTATGGAAGCATGTCGTCCACTTCCAGCTCCGTGCTAACGTTGTCATCGTTTAATCTATTATTTTTCACCCAAGGTAAGCACTTGACACTTTACATAACTCCCTCATTTCGGGTCCGATTACCCGATTGGGATTAATGCGTGCCCAGTTGGCCATTCTGGTTAGCTGTATGGGTGCAGGGTGGCTGACCCAATTGGAGTCCAGTTGGGATGTCACCAACGGGCGTAATAAATTGTAGCAACTTTTCTGGTTTATATGGGAAATTTTGATGACCTCTCAGGGATCTCTGGGAAATACGAAAATTAAGATAAACCTTAGAACATACATCTCGTAATTTTATATCCCTAATGATACAGGTGTATGTTAGTTCAACATGTTTGTGCTTGTTAACCCTTTTGGAAGGTGCCAAACAAATAATACTAATAAAAATACTTTAATAAATTTGACATTTCAATGGGGTGTTTAAACTTCTGATTTAACTTTTAAGTCATAACAAAAATGATTACTAAATGCCTTAAAAATAATTTTAACAAAGTTATAGAGACAGAGATTCAAGGGAACTCCTAGGAATTTCTAGCTAATTTTTACATTTCAGGACATTTTTCTGTAAGTCTGTTTAGCCCATTTCCGCAGTTGTTTAATTTGCCGTTGATGGGCCATGAATCTAAGTACAGATTGTGACCCCACAGTAGCACAAGATAATTAATCTCAGTCAGTGGGTCCTAAGCTTGGGCTCAATCTAACAATCCGACCCGCAGGCAGGCCTCCACCCATTAATCCCAACCCATTTAAAGGGCCAACCAAAGCAGCAGTAGCAGCAGCAGTAGCCTGACCAACTTCATTTGCATGCAAATTGCGTATAAATCCTTGAATTGTTGCTGCAACAGCAAAACCTCAGCGAGGAATGCCCGACGATTCGAAAGAAAGCAGATGGGGGCAGTTAGTTGACTTGGCCAAACTCATTATTTGGTAATAGTCGTCGTCACCGAAAATGTTTGCTTTTAATTAAAACAAAAGGCGGTAACACAGCACTGCTGTTTGCCAAGACAAAGCCCCGCACAGCTGTTCATTTGGACAAATTGATTTTTCTGGTCTTAATTGTCAAGAGAGTGAGTAGTAGGGCCCAAGTGTGGCAACCAATTTGGAAACTTTTTGGCAAATTAAAGAGCCAAGGCGATCTTCTAGATAGATGCTGTCAAGGACATGCCGCCAAGAATTCGCCCTCCAATCAAAATTGAATTCCCACTTTTGTTGACCCAACACTGTGGTTTCAGCACTTCGACACCACCACCAACGCCGAGCCAAGCAAAACACATGCAACAAGGGTCTGGCACTATTTTTAGACACTTGCCACCCAGGCCACAAGGTGCAATTAGAAGGGTCCCAACTTTCGTCTAACGTCGGAGTTTTGAATGCCCTAACCAAAAGTTGGCCAAAAGTTTTAGCTGTTTTTCCAAATATCTGGAGACCAAATAAGACTCTTCGTATTCATGGCTGAATTTTGAAGTTTTTAGTGTATATAGTTGAAGAACGGAAGAGTGGATAAGTTTTTGGGAGGTTTGAAATGTTTTTGTTGGGTGTCTAAAAGTATGCTGTGAAAGCGAAAACTGACAAAATGTCATATTTTCAGGCTTTGTTATAAGAATTTTTGGATCTCTAGTGTTTGGAGTTTTAAATAAAAACATTTATTATGTTATTAAAAACTCTTAAAATATTTGAAAAAGTTCTAAGACGACATTATTGATTAGCCATTCAAAAAGACTCTTTTTCCTTCAAAGGGTATGACAAGACAATGCTTGGAAAGTGTGGTTTGTTGGGGGGTCGCTTTTCAATGTCAATGCCAAAAAAAAGGACGAGTGTCACACACACACACACACACACACACACACAACAAAGCGGAACCCCCTTTCACATTCACCTTTTTCATTCAGGCGTGTGTAAATTTGATTCTGCATTGATTTTCCACTTGGTCGGTTGCTGTGAAAATCCTAAGGGTATGGTGTGTGGCAGTCTTATTTGATTATTTTTGTTTGGACCTGATTTTAATTGCTTGCACAAACACAAACACAAACACAACACCAAAAACACACACATAAAACCCTTCGAAATAGGCAATAGAAAAATGCATTTTGCAATTATGCCAACCGAATGGAACCAGAAGTGCGACGGCAACAACAGCAGCAGCAGCAACAACAAAAACAACATCAACAAGTGGGCGGGGTCGGCGTCATTACGGAGAAAGTCCTGTTCCCTGTCCCATGTCCTTCTCCTCCCCTTTACTAGCCCCTTTTCATCCTTCATCTGCTGTCTGGCTTCTCTCCTGCAAAGCAAATATAGTGCGAAATGAGAATTGCCGTAGATTGGTCACAGTGGGTCGAAAATAGGATGTTTTTATGACAAAGTTTTTTGAAATTTAATGAAGTTTAAAATCGGATGGGTTTTAGGAAAGAAATAAGTTTAAACTATGATCTATTTAAAGGTTAATATTCATGCTAAAAAAAGTCATTTAGAAAGTGTTAGTTAGGTTTTGATATTAAGTTTTGTTTTAAGAATAATATTAACAAGATGAAATTATTTACTTTTATTATTAAAGAATACATTTGACTAATCTATAACAGAGTATTTAGTATTGCTATAGAGTTCGAAATTAATATTAAAGGAATGTTTTAGAAAATGATCTCTTTATTATTCTTCCAGAAGTATGTACATCGGTTTTCTGATTTATAACTTATATTATGTATATTATTCTTAACCCTTGAAATCCAAAATAGTTTTAAAAAATTCTATGAATCTACTTCCTGTTCACAGTTTAAACTCCATTTATACCTACTTTTAGGCCACTGTGCTGTGTGGCAAACCCGAGTTGAGCCAGAGGCTGGATTAGCTCTTGTCGTGACCTCGTGGCCCGTTGGCATGCAAAATGCAACTAATTATGAATTTTAATTAATTCTGGCATTTTATTTTGTTTGCTGCCGCTGCCGCTGCTGCTGCTGCTGTGCACCATTTCTACCCGTGGGCAATAATAATAATAAAGTGACTCGGGGAATTGCAGTAAAAGTCTTCAGCATTTTCCGTCGCTTTTCTCCTAGACTTTGGCTCGGCTTCTGGTCAAGAGAATATATACGAGCTGGAAATAAAAGTAAAATGGGGGGGAAAAACAAGAACATTGAATGACTCTTTTGTTCGGCTTTCGGTTGGGCTTTCCCCCCGTACCGCAGTCAAGTGTCTGCCTTTCAGTTGTTCCTGTCGTTTGATTGGGCCGCATTCGTGGCATTTTGGCCATGGTAGATTCCATTTCACTTTGACCATTCAAGAATGTGCCACGTCCACTGAGCAAATGTTTTTTATTTTTATGAATGCAGCGAAATGTGTAAAGTCCTTAGAAATGCATTTCAGTTCAATGGTTTCAAACATAGAATTTCTGCAGCCACATGGAAAGTAAAGTAAATTCCTTCTGTAAAGTTTCATTCTTTTGCTTGTGAACTTATTTGAAGGTAAAGTTCAAAGGTATTTTTCGCCTTTTTTAAATTGGTTTTGGATGGTTGGTTTCTTGTTTCTCTTTAAAACATGCCCAAAAGTAGGCAACAACAATACATTCCTTTTACGGCATGCCTTTCTGTGACACTTAATTATATTGCAATTTTCTTTTAAAATCAATTCCCCATTATTGATTGTTTGTTTTTATACGCCACCCCCCAGCACATTCTCCCCTTTTATTTGTTTTCATTTCCATTGCTTTCCCGTATTTTGTTGTGCCATTTATTTTATTATTTTGTTGTGCCAGCAGAATAATAATCGCATAATCTGCTTTTGAGGGCAACAGCTGCATCTGACATTTGTGCCTCCCCCCCCCCCACTTTCTATCTTAACCCACCCCTGCTGTGCGCACTTATGCCTGAAAGCTTTATGAAATTCCAATTTAATGGTCCTCTCTGGCTTAAACTGCATTTTGTCCATACTCGTATCTTCTTTACCCCCTTTTTCAAACGCCCCCCAAGCCCATTTGTTGTCGCTGCTGGAATCGATGGACATTCTGTGGTCGTTCTAAGCCAAATGCATTATTAAGCTCCATAAAAATGTCAGGGTTGTCGTATAAGTACACAGCGAACAAGATTTATTGTTATTAGTTACTACTTAAAGTTAAATATAAAGGAAAAACGAAGAAAAATAGTTTATTTTAAAGGAATTTTTCATTATTTTGAAATATTTAACTTGATTGTAAACTTGAATGTGCTTTTAATGTAGTAAAAATACAGTAAACTGTGTAAAAATTTTTCAAATATTTTTCAGAGCATATATATTACAGTGTATTAATCGTATTTTGTATTATTTTTAAGCAATCGGCTTAATTTTAATCTGCAGGTAACAATATGACCAACTTCCCAGCCACATAATAAAGTAAAATTAACATTAAATTTACCTTTTTGTAGAACTTACTTAAAGCCAACTGTTTCCCAGAGTTAAAATACTTTCTAAAATAAGTTAATATCTGATTTAGTGGCAAGAAAAAAGCCTTTTTCTCAGTGTAGCTAAATGTATTCCCACACACAATGTTGTTGCTTGTTTTTGGCCATGTGTTGACGGCTTTTTTTTGGGGCGTTTGCCTGTGACACGAAATGCAATCGACACTCGCTGGGGGAGTCATAAATATTGCAATACTCAATTCCACTCAAAACTGACAGAGAGCCAAGTTGCCAGGTCTCCCAGGATGGCATTTTCCACAGGACAGGATTGCGGGCACTCTTCATTAACCGAAGTGATATCAATCGAGAAGGCCTCTTGCATTATTCAGCAGACGTGCACCTTTGTTTACCGTTCCGCAAATTCAATTATTTACATGCAGATGAACAACATTAATGCCTCATCATTATGCAAATCGAATTAGTTATCGAGCAATGGAATTAATAACTCAAATGTCGAATAATGTTGGCAGCCAACTTGGGCAAGGATTCAAAATTGATTTCATGTAAAAGTTAATGGAAATTCGTAGATATCTTTGTAAGATTGTTTATTCTTTAAAAACCTCTTAAGGGAGCAAATCTGTGGCTGTAAAATCTTTGAATGGAGTTTCTTTTATATTATTTAATCAACGAGATCATCAGTTCTTACATTTTTAATTCGATATACATATATAAAGCCACATTTGTTGCCATTAAGCCATCCATGAAAAAGGTAAATATGTAAATATTTAAAAACATTTTAAATGCCCTGTTAATTGAGTTGGAAAATTTGATGGGCAAATAAATGAAAATGAAATCCGCTCGAAAAGAATAATTTCCTGCGTAAATGATTTCCCCAACCTTTGAAGTTTCCTTTTTCTTTTTTGCATTTTAAAACTCGTAACCTGACATAGGGAAAAAATGAAAATAAAAACCTGGATCAGGATACATTTCAAAAGGACCTAGACTTCAGGTCGACTTGCCCAGATACTCAAGTGGGTGCTTGAAAAGTTTTGCCCCTCCGGCGACCCTTGAACTCTTCCTGTTGGCCATTCAGCTTCGATCTCCCAGCTGGGTGCCATCAGCAGAACTTTATTTCGCCGCTTGTTGCTTCAATCGCCGAACCGAGGGGCATATCCGGGGGATATGGCACGTTTAGGAGGGATTAGGGATATAGTCGGGACCACAAATTATGCAAAATGGCTGCAGCAGGCCAAACGAGGAACGTGCCGCAAAACAGGGGGCAGGGAAATACAGGAAAACTTCCGTAAGCTTAAGGCAAGGAAATTCAATTTACAGATTTTATACCTTTGAGGCAGCTTTAATTGGGTTAGTAATTTATTATGAATACTGATATATATATATATAAATAGTCCATGTATTTTACAAAGATTTTAGATTAAAAGAAACAAAATACGAAAAAATTTTCCTTACTTTTAAGTGATAATGAAAAGTTTTTTCTTACTTTAAATCACATTTAAAACCAATTAATGGTTATTTATCATTAAAAAATTAATCTAAAAATGCATTAAAATAATTAGAAAATCCTAAAAGAAAACCGAATCCGACTTAAGGATCCATCACTGTACTTAGACGTCTCCCTAGTTTGGCACAAATCGAGTCGAGTGCTTAAATAATTAATTACAGAAAAGCGCAGTTCCATGAAAAGCGTGCTGAAGTGGTGCTGTGGTTGCTTTTGGGGTGGCCATCGTGGGAATAAAAATAAATAGGGGGAAAAAGCGGAAAAGCAAAACGTAAAAGAAGAAGAGAAAAAACAGCAAAGGGGCTGGGAAAAACCATCGCAAGTCCTTCACTTCTCACCGTGTTGTTAAACCAATTGGCAAACATTTTTATTTTATTACATTTCACAGTTGCAATTTCTGTTGCTTTCTGCTGCTTTTCAACACCCACCCAACCAACCAACCAACCAACCAACCAAACCAAACTAACCACCCAACCACTGCCATCCTCATTTTCCGCTTTTTCCGGGGAAATTCTTCCGCACCAGCCAATCAGTCGTCGGGGTAAATAGTTGGTAACTAGGGGTTCCGCATCCGGTTAATAAACAAAAGGTGTCGCCCGCCCGTCTGTCTCCGGATTTATTTGCCCGGGATTCCTATGCTATGTTTTGCCATTGTCTTTTGGATTTTGTTTCTTGATGGCGGATTGGGTTACGTTTATGGCCGGGTTCGGGGGGGAGGGTTACGGTTTACTCTCTGTGGTTTTAGCGGTCTCTTCTTAGCTTGGGCAGCAGGCGGCGTGCTTTGTTTTTATGGCAAAATCAATGCAAACCGCGCGTCTAAAAATAGGCAACTGGCCAAAATGCGTCATGGCCAAAAAGCCCTGGGGCGACCTAATTAAATCGCTCGACAATTGATGGTTCGCCCATCGACAAAAGGGAATGATTGAACGATAGATTGACTGATTGAGTGACCTTGCACTGGGCCAAATTTAAAATAAATACAAAAAAGTGACTAGGATTGGGAAAAACACTTAAAGAAATGGGAGTATGTTAAAGGGTATCAAAATGTTGAAAGTTAAAAGAACGTTTTAAGTAGGTTTTATGGATAGATATATCTTTTGTATTTACTACTTGGTAGCAGGCTTTATTACCATATTTTTTTATTACCATATTCATTTTCTCTGCGTGTAGATTTAGACGTCTCCATTGGTTTCGCGTTGAAATCAATTAACTGACGTCAGCAAGGGATGATGGCGCTGTGGGTGGATTTTCCGAAAGGGGGTGGTGCATACTTTTCGGCAAGCAGCTTGTGCCTTACATAACCCCACATGGGAAGGGCGCAACTTTTGTTTTTACCGCCTTCATCCCACTCATATACATAGAGTGCCCTCTGCCTTCCCCCCCTACCGTGTAGTTTCCTGGCAGGCGGTGCAAACTTATTATGGCCATTTTTGGCTTGTGCGAAACTTTATCAACATTATGGATGACTGACTGACTTCCATCTGCCCTGCAAGTTGGACAAGGTTGAACCTTAAAATTGTTTGTTCTGTTTCGTATGTGTGTGTGTGTGTGTGTGTGTGTGTGTGTGTGTGGGAATGTGTTTTTAGTGAATGTTTGTTTGGTTGCCTTGTGCTGGGGATTACTTACCCGCAACTTTAAAAAAGCAATCTTATTAAGTTCGTGTAGCGGAAAACTTTTCAGATTTCATCCATACGAGAAACGCTAAAATATTACAGCCATAAAAGTTGAATCCATGTTAAGTGAGCCACTTAAGAAAATCTAAACAAGAATTGGGAAAGTTCCATGGTTTGGGAAATAATTTGGAATTTTTTTTTTTTAAATATTTCTCATAAAATCAGGCAAATATGTTTATATTTTATTTGAATATTTTTCTCTGTATTTTAGGGAAAACCTTTTATAAATTCTTTTTTCAATATTGGCAACTTTTAAGTCCCACTTTCCATGGGAATGCCAACAGCTCCTTCCAGCCCCTACCGTCAAGCCGTGTTTCTAGGTGACTTTTGAAAGCCAGAAATAAAATATGAGGAGGAATGACGTTGCCTTTGGTGTTTATTGTTGTTATTTCTGTTGCTTTTGTTGTTGCTGTTGTCGCTGCTTCCTGTCGAACGTGAATAAGAAGGGGAAGCAGCAGAAGAAACAGAAGAAGAAGCGGAAACAGGCAGCGTCATAAATATGTAAGCAGTGTGTGTATGACCTTCGCGTGTCGCAGCAACATTTTCAGCATTTTCTGCATGCAGAAAAACAACAACGTTAAATTGTGGCTTTTTTTTTTTCCTTTCCCTGTTCAACTTTTTGTGTTTTTTTTTCCTTTTGCTTTTGGCAAGCAAATCATGTTGCATGTTCTCACCGCTGACCTCTGACCCCGATATATCACCCAGCCCCCATGATTTATTAGTCCATGGCCTATGTCCTCACGAAGGACACGAATTGCAGAAATATTACCAGGGCCTCCAGAATGAAGAAGAACATCTAAAGTAAAAGGTTGATATCGGTTTAGCTATATCTATATAATATATATATATCATTTTACCCCAGCTAAGGTCTGCAGGTTAAGGTGATAGATCCCACAGACATCGAACTGTATGGGATCCTGCATGATCTGCAGGGCAAATCCCTCGATATGACTTCTTTCCAAAGGTGTCTGCCCAGGTCGATCCTTCAGTTGCTCCTGCAAGTGCTTGGACTGTAGGAATATTTATAAAAATTGTTAATTCAAATTACTAAACTAACGAAAAGGGAAGGGAAATTGATAGTCACCTTTGCCACACATCGATGGCAGGCAGCGCACATGGTCCAGATCTTGCCGAGAGTGGGCAAGACAACAAACATGGCCTGACAAAAGATAAACCAGGAGGCGGGCAAGGCCTCTAGGTATTCCACCATAAAGTAGACATTGCAGACGATTATCCAGTCACCCAGGCAAAGGATATTCATTAGGAGCAGCGACAGGCCAAAGAGATTCGACAACGAACGAGACAATTTCGCCAGTTGGGCATAATCCGATCGAAGAGTTTTGTAGTCTATGGTGCCGCTTATCACCCGGTGATGTAGTTGCTCCAGTTGACCATCCAAGCGATCCACCAGAAGCATCATTTGCAGATAACGAGCTCGGACAGCTTGAAGGCTAAAAGAATATTGCAAAGTAGTGAGATATTCCCCGCCCTTACTATAATCCAAGAAGACCAGGACCAGAGCACATCCAACTAGCAAAAGCTCTAGGATTAGGTGTCTGTATGCAAAGGAAGTACTGCCCACCAGAGGCAGTTGCTCAAGCAGACAACGATTACGTCGACATTGGAGCAGGGCCATGATGACAATCCAGGCATGGACCATTTTGTAGGCCACATTAACTCCCTGAATGGTTTTCACAAAGTACGAAGCCAGGGGTCCATCATCCGGAATCGAGTCCTTGAAATAGCCCCCTATCTCAGTGGCCAACTCGATTAAAATGACCAATAGGAAGCTACTGCCCAACAGGCGGCCCAATCGACTCCCACTCCAACCGCAAACCAGGCCGAAAAGCTGGAAATAGCCGGTTATAGAGCGTTCCAACCACAGCGACATTGGGCTTCCAACTGTGGTGTCCAGGCTTCCGAAAGGTTACTCCAAGGGTGGTATCTTTCAATTAATCAAAGAGGAGGTGCTAGTAGATCATATCAGGCGCTTAATTGGTTTTAATTTATCAGCGGGAAAGACTCAAATGCTTGGTGACCCCAATGTTTGATTCAGTTTTCTTTTTGGCTGGGTCAATAACTTGACCAATCTACTACTAGTATGTAACTTTAAGCTTTTGTCAATTCTTACTACAATTTACCAATACTTTTGGTCATTATTATGACCTTGCTTGTTTAGACTAAGTATTAATATCTAAGGAAGGGGTGCTCAACGCCTATGTTCTGTATGTTCATTTGTTTTTGTAAATTCTCGCTGCATATCGACTTGCTAGCCCGTAAGCTTTGAGCGCTCGCGTCGCTATTCCATCAACAACATTTTTTGACTTCCTTTTTCCGCCTCATTCCGTCGCCAACTGTGATATGTTTTATTCTTGTTTCTTCCTCGATCATCCCCAAACTCCTTGCTAATCCACCAACAATTTTACGTTTTCCTCTTTTCGCCTCATTCCATTGACAACTGTAATTTATTTTGTTCTTGTTTCTTCCTTGACCATCCTCAAACTCCTTGCTATTTCACCAACAATTTTACGTTTTCCTGTTTTCGTCTCATTCCGAAGCTAACTGTTCTTTTCCTTCCTCGGTCATCACCGAACTCCTTGCTATTTCACCAACAATTTTTCGTTTTCCTCTTTTCGCCTCATTCCTTCGCTAACTGTTCTTTTCCTTCCTCGATCATCCTCAGTCACTTGCACTGGAAATCATTCCTTATAACTTCTGTTTTGCTCTTTCGAGTGTTTTTCGCATTTGGTGGGTAACTAAAATGAGTGATAAATTAATTAGCGAAAAGAAGTTTTTGTTTCTCTCAGTGCACAGCTGCAAACCAACACAAAAGCGTCACTAAATGTGTAATTTGCACGCACAAGATTTGTGTTAGTAAATGCTCCGCCGTAAGACGACTTTGAGCGCCCCTGGTCTATGGATTTGAGAAACGAAAACTGGGGTTTATTACCTTATTAAAGTGATAAGCGATTGCAGCTCAAATAACTGATCTTGCAAATGAGGAACTTTACTCTTGGTCTACGTATTAAACCTTTTTTATGTTTCCTAATTTGAAGTTTCGGATGATTAGCAAAGAGATAAGCTTTAAATGTACTTTTTAATCTTCAACTTTGGCCTCTAAGAGTTAGTCTCTTAGTTATCTAAACTCATAATGATGTGATAAATTCATAATAATCCATGATATGATAATTATTGATAACATTTAAGCTTCCAATACATTGATTTAAACTAATTATTAACTCCCTGATATATTCTTGATATCTACTTACAGTGCTCACGGTACTCAGCTCGACGATCAAGTACAACGAATATACGACGGACAAGGGCGGCAATGTGAGCATACCCTGCATAGCCCAGGGCAACATAATGTGGGTGAAAGAGCACGGCAACAACAGCACGATAGTCCAGGTGAGCTAATAGGTTTTCCCCTCTAAAAGAATACCAAAAATAAGTGATCTGTTTCCAAAGACCGGTCGTGTTTTGGTGCTGCGCAATGTGACCACCTTGGATGCGGGAATCTACGTGTGCTTCGCCTCATTGCCACGCCCATCAGCAACAACAACAACAACAAGTGCAACAACGAGCAATCTAGAAACATCAGCAACTACCTCACCGCAAAGTCAGCAGGAGAAAGAAACGCAGCCAGTGGAGGATGAGGATGGTAGCGTCAGGGTATCTGAGGTCCCCAAGGACTCGCAGCAGGAAGCCGAAGTGGAGGAGGAAGTGGCATACCAGGCCCATCAGCGAACCGAGCTCATCGTTCGCACCGTTCCGGGTCCGGTTTCGCAGCTATACTTCAAGGCCTCCACCATACTGGGCTTCCTCATCTGGCGCTTCAACAAGACCCAATCCGGGGGCTACCCGTTGCGCAGCTTTACGGCGGAGTACAGGAATGTGTCCTACAAGACGCCGCCGGCGAATGCCAGTTTCGAGCACGCCTGGAGCAGAATGGATCCCATTAACATAGCCTTCAATGTGGTGAGTATCTGGAACTAGAGTTTTAATTTAAGAAGTTATTTAAAAGTTAATAACTAAAAATAAAACCTGTTTGTAGCGGCAAATGGAGGTCTATCGCCTGGCACCCAATACCACCTATGAGTTTCGGATATGGGCCAACAACGAACTGGGCAGCGGCGAGGTGGTCACCACCAATGTGACCACGCTGCCGGAGACCAAGGAAGAGGGTGAGTACTCCGGGCACTGACCATTACCGTAATCCTAGAGATCTTAGGCTCTATTAGGCTAGGCTAGGCTAGGATCAAACCAGGCTAGAGATTATGTTGATTATGACTACTATTTTCGTATAACTTTGATTCTACTTTAAATGTGTAAACTGTAATTCTAATCGGTAGTTGATCATTCCTAATTTCCAATTGGTGTCAACATCTATATATTAAGGCTTGTCGGATGGGTTTGCAATTCGAATTCCCATTAACTAATTGCAATCCTAGACGCGGTCAGAACTTTAGTTAACTTGATTGGTAGACAGCATTATGTCGAGTAACCTTAAACTAAGTGTAAACGTATAGAGCTCATTGTTTAGTACATTTCGATTTGTATTTTTGGTAATTTTCGTTGTCCATCTATATATCTATCCCCTCTCTCTCTCTCTCTCTCTCGTTCTCTCTCTTTGTCTCTGTGTTTGTCATACACCCGATCCAGATCTCATACGCCTTATAAAACCCGACCTTGACAATTTCGATCCACGCATTTGGATAGTGGCCGTCAGCATAGTGCTCGGAACCCTTGTGATATTAGCGATCGGACTCTGCATTGTCCTCTCCAAGGAGTGCTATCAGTCGGCGCAAATGGGTACAGACTAAGTCGATCAACTCCAGCTTTAGCTCCAAAACTCCAGAATATCTTATATCCCCCAGTTAAAAAGAAAACAGCAAACAATCCCCGAGATAATCAGCAACAAATCTCACCTTATTTTAAGTATTATTTTTCGCGTGTTTTTTAAATGTTTTTTCAGTTTCCGTTTGGCTTTGTTTATCGGTTTACTTTAGTTATTAAATTCACACATTATTTTTAACTGCATTGTTCAGTTTTGTTATGGCTATATATATATATTGATATTGATGTTGTTGTTGTTGTCGTTATTGCCTCATTGCTGTTGTTGTTGCCGCTGCTATTATTGTTAATTAATTAATAACCAATGTTGTGTTTTTAAACGCATTTAGTTTTTATGTTTGCCAGCCGGACGCAAAATGTTTGCTTTGCCGTTGGATGTTGTTTATATATATATTTAAGACCACCCCCTCTTCCCCTATATGATATATACTATATATGTGTATATAATAGTACGATTCCTGTGACCTGTAAATATATTTACAAAACGAAATGCATACATAAATGTATTTGCCATGAAAGGCTTTGCAGGCGAAACAAATATTGATTCACAAGAAATTTATTAGCCAATTTGTCTTTGATTTCCCCCGATAGAGTGGCATTCATCATTTTTCACATAAACTTGATATTAAAAATTATTGCTTTTTATCAGCAATTGAATTCTGTAAAACATTTTGTAGCCATAGCTTAGCTAAATTTAAATCATTTTCTTTAAGCAATTAATAATAAAAGTAGAAAAGAGCAATAAATTGGTGATTGTTCTAGCTTTTACTCGAATAATTATTAAAAAGCCGCAGGACATGTATTTATTTACCTTAAAGTCCCTTAAACTTATTCAAATCCTAACTAGCCCCTAGCCTTAAGTCATGAAATGTGTAATTTCCTCTCTTACTAAACCAAAAAGCAAATCAAGTAGACCAAAAAAAAAAATAATGGAATCAGCTTTAAGCACTTAAACTGTGATAGCCTGCACTTGTAGCCAAAAAAACCAAGCAATCTATGGAAACAAAATGGAAATCAAAGCAAAAACCGTCTAGAGTTCTCTACCAATTTTAAGCTTTAGCTGCTAACTAAAAATTAAATCTAAAAATGATATTTGCTAAATATGAAATATTGTAAAACAAACGCCTAGACCAAAAGGAAGCGCTTTATCAATGTTGTAACCGTGTATGTAACTATATACCTTATCGAATATTATTGTGTTATTTGCATTTGCAACGATAAAACCCATTAAAAGCACGACAATTAAATCTTTTCCAAAAACCAAAAGAGTGGATTGTATGTAATATTTCGTTGTGATTTCATTTAGTTTCGTTTTGAGAACACTCCAGCTTGGATTTCAATAGAAAATGCACACAAAAACACACACACAGAAAGACACGAGATATATTTAACAAATACAAAATGAACGCATATACAGCAGTGGTCAAGATAATAGGAGCTTTTTAAAGGTTTAACAAATAAGAAGTATTAAGAAAAGTTTAAACTTTTTACATATAAAGATCTTTACTTAAAAATTAAAAATTAAAAATTTAATTTTTCATTAAATTAAGAAAATTAAACTAAAAAGAATCTAAATTTTCCTCTAAAAATTAATTTAATAAATTGATAAATTGAAATTTTTCAAAAATAATATACAAATACCTATTATCTTGGACACCGCTGTAGGCGCACTTATTTAGCGAGACAAAGTTGTTGCTTGCATTACGCATACGCCCTGTGCGACGCTTGGGGGCTAAAGTGCCGCTTTTTTTCGAGTGTCACTTGGCTGAAGCGCCGCCTGTAAATATTTGTGTTAAACTGTTGCACACATACACTCAGCGAAAACATCCCAAAACACACAAACACACACACACACACACACACACACACTCACACTCTCACACGCCAACACAAACAAGAAAAAACCCTAGTAAAAAGGTAAAGTACAGAACAATTATTAAAAATATGCCTAATAAATGTGTTTTTCTTCTCTCTCTCTCTTCCTCTTGTTCTCTTCCTCTCTCTCTTTCCATAAATAAAAACAAAATCCAATTAAACTTTCCAATTAAATTGTTTAACAATTTGTAATCCCTTGATTTCGCCTTGAAGAAATGCAAGATGGTTGGGACAGCATTGAGATTATACCGAACATAATACTTAATCCCGGTTTCAGCGAGTCGGATGGCGGTCCAGGGGGTGATGGTGAAGAGGGCGGTCCTGTTGTGCAAGAGGACCAGGAGGAGGATGAAGATGATGTGGCCATGCCCTTTCCGCGCACCATCATCTTTGGCCAACACCATCGAACACCTCCACCGCCTCGCTTGCATTTGCCGCCGCAGCATCATCATCACCAGAATCAAAGCCATCACCATCAATACCATCAGCACCATCGGCGGCATGAGGACGACGACGACGATGACTACGAGGAGGAGCACGAACCCACCATGGAACGGTTCAAGCGCAAAGTTTCCGTCTTCTTCACCGGACCCACCATCAAGCGCATTTGAGACGTATTTTTGAGTACAAAAACTGGTCACCTACATAGGTTGTTGCATTGCGGTTTGATCGGGTAGTTAGGATCTGCGAGGACACATACTTATAGAGCTTATCGATCGAAACTTTCGTTTTCATTTCGGTTTCCGTGTCTAAAGCTTGAAAAATGAAATAGCAAAAAAGCAAAACCAAAAAAAGGAAAATCCAAAAAAAAAAAGAAAACAAAAACAAAAACGAAAACAAGAAAACACCAGAAAGAGAGCGAAGTTGCAGTCGGTTGATTTATTGCTCATTGTTTTGCTTCTCCCTCGAATCACAACTATATAGTATATATATATATACACGTATTATAAATATAAACCAAAACAAATATATTGCTGTGATACAAATTCAATTGAACGGACATTGTAAGGATTTACCATAAAGCACACGAAACACCAATCCAGTTATTAGCCATCATGAATTTGCTGAAGCTGAAGTAGACGACAAACCATATTGAATTTTGCCTAGTTGAACACGCCATCTGAGTTACAGCATCTGGATTGTTCAGATCCGGATATAGCCGAAAGAATTTAGCGGACAAGTTAGCTTAGAGCCAAAATCCTTAGAAAGAGATCTGTTACTAAGTTTGAAATGAAATAAAATCAGCAAAAATATTAGAAATAGTCCGTTTGTCTGTTAAATAAAATACAAAACAAGCTTCCTTGTTCTTTGCGTTCCAAATTATATATATATATTCGATTGTAACAGATCTCCAATAGTCCTGATAGCCGACTATATCGTCTTGATTTCCTTCCTTTCCGTTGTAAACATTTAACAAACTGTGAAACAATTTTTGTAATTGAGCAAATATTTTGCACTGTAGAGCGCACCAAAGGATCTATATATAGATATATATAAATATATTTAAAACCGAAGGAAACGTTTGATAAACATTTTAAATAAACGGCAAAACGCCTTGTGCTTTAGTTCGGCCTCAAAGCTAATTAAATTGAATATGATATGATATAGGAATATTTATGAACGTAGTTAAAGTAGCTGGGAAACCAAATATTCAAAAATGAAAAATGAAAAAACGAAAAACGAAAAACAAACAAAAACTGCTTCCACTCACAGAAAACAAAATCGAAACAATGAAATTGTTATAAAAGATAAATCAAAACTAATTTTAAACAAGCGAATATTGTGTATATATACCGATGCAAAATATATATATATAGATATATATACATAAAGAATGTACACAGGTGTGAGGGATGTACATAAAGATAGCGAGTGGGTATCTTAAGAAAGACTGTAGCTAATGTTTAAGACACTTTGGCCTGCGCTTATACCAATTTTTGGGGCCCAACTTGGCCCGCCTGTTTTGGTTCTAACCATTTTTTGCATTGATCTGCTAAAGCTACCAACTACAAAGTATATAGAAATAATATTTCTAACAATTCGGAATGTGCACTTAACTTGAAATCAACAAACAAACAAAAACATTAACAAGAAACCCCCCCAAAAAAAAAAATTCCAAAATAAATAGAAGGAAAATATGTAAGCAAAAATCTCTCGCCTAAGCCCTGAACCTAAACTCTTGGCTGTATTTCTAATTGTTATTGCTTCAGGTTGAGGTTTATTGTTATTGCGCCAGCCTCCCGTCAGCAAATCGCTCCCTAATCACTCTTACGAAATTGTTTTCTAACCTAAGGGGCTAAGCCATCGGTGAAGAAGCTTAGACCTCGACACCACAAAAACACAGACAACAATAAAATAAATCTAAGTTTACAAAACCAATTTGCGACTCTTATCTTTGGTTAAGTTTCTTGGGATTATAACCTGCATTCACCGAATCTGAGATCCTATTTCCTATGTTTGATTAAAATCTAAACGTATGCATTACTTATAATTTTTTGTTTGTTTTGTTTTTTATGCTTTTTGTCTATGTTGAGACTTTAAGCTACAGGAAAAGGATAATAGCCAAGGTGCTGGGGCTTTCGGCTAATTATAATGGTTTTTTCTTAAAGAATTTAATAGAAATATTATATTTATAAAATATAGGAATAAACATAAATAGATTGGATTTTATAGCCACATTTAGTTATAAATTATTAAATATTATATATCAATGTTTTTTAGCCGTTCAGTTTGGTGTACATAATTATTCATTACATATGTACATAGTTATTCTATAACATTTTTATGAAGTTTTTAAGCAGGCCCTTTGGTATTTAAGTGCTTCAATTTTAAAGAAACTAATTAACCTAATCTTTCATTACCAGAGTCATTATATTAATACAGTCTCGAATATTACTTTTTACAAGCTTAATTTAAAGCAGGGAATCTTAACGCCTTTGTTTTGAGTTTTCATTTGTTTTGTAAATGCTCCCTGCAGATCGACTTGCTAGCCTTAAAGCTTTGAGCGCTGACGGCGCTGCTTTTCTTCTTTGCGCCTCATTCCGTCGCCAACTGCAATACAATTTGTTCTTGTTTCTTTCTCGATCGTCCTCGAACTCCTTTCTATTCCACCAACAATTTTTCGTTTTCCTCTCCCCGCCTCATCCCGTCGCTAACTGTTCTTTTCTTCCTCGCTAATCCTCTGACACTTGCACTGAAAATCATTCCTTATAACTTCTGTTTGGACTTTCGAGATTATTTCGCAGTTCGCGGGTGCTTAAAATGAGTGATGAATTGGTTACCGAAAAAAAGTTTTTGTTTTTCTCAGTGCACAGCTGCAAACCAACACAAAAGCGTCACTAAATATGTGCACTCCTTCTTGTATTTGTGTACCCGTTTGACCATCCGTTTTTACTGTATTTGCTTACCTGCTCTCGTATTTTGTGATACTTACTTTTGATTTTTATTTGTTTTTTATTTATTTCTATTCAGTTTCTTGTATTCATAATTACCACAGATGGGAGTGTTATATTCAGTTCCAGTTATTTTAACCAGATCCATCAAAATTTGAGGTATATCTTCACCCGCAGCTTTTATAGTTCGAAAATAGTGGAAAACGAATGCCATTTTACAGCTTTTATGTTATTAACTGATGTCCATTTTAAGCTGCTTTCTTCATAATTATGTTTAGTTTTTAGTAGTAGTTCATACCATCAATTCATATAAAGAGTTATAATTTTTAACTGCCATGTTTTCTTTTAATAAGCTTTTTAATATTTACCAAGATTATTAAAGGTTACAAGTTCTTGAAATTCTTCAATTAAAGTTGATAACTTTTGATTTTTTCTTGATAATTGAATGCCATTTTTAAGCTTCTAAGTTCCCATATCTAAAGTTACGACCAGGTCGGCTCTATAATCCTCTTAATCCATACAATGACTAAACATTTTAGTGTTATTTTTAAGCTCTTTATGAAGCGTTTATTTGCTGAATTTAGCGATTTGTTCGTTACATAGTTGAGTAATCTCAAGAAAAGGCCAATTTGGGTTCAACTTAGGGACTACAGTGTGTGTGGTTGGGTGGTTGGTTGGTTGGTTGGTTGTTGCCATTCCAGATGCCAGTGTTCGAAGGGTACTCCTTACTGGTAGTCCTTGCTGTCCTGGTTGTTGTTCCACGCCTGGTGGACACCATGGTAGCTGCTCTGCTTCTGGGCGGGAGCGTTGCGGCCGAAAGGACTCTTGGGGTTCACCTGCAGGATGTAGTCACCTTCCAGATCGTGAGCGGTGTCGATGCCCATGTAGGCGCGCTTGCCGAATCCATCGTTTTGCTTGTACTGCTGCAGGGAGTTGGCTGGGACGGCAGGGAAGCTCCTCTCGTTACCGGGACGCACGGACTCGGCGAAGTAGCGGGTGGCACGCATGGCAGCCTCCACAACGTTGGTGGCTCCAGGAACACCGGCGGCAGGTCCGTTGGGGTAGAAGTCAACATCGCCGGAACGAATGGGAGTGCCCATGCCGTAGACCGAGGTGTGAATGGCATCAACGAACTCAGCATCACCGCGAGCCAGTCCGGTCAAGGTGTTCTTGCTCTTGGCCACGATCTTGGAGGGATCCAGACCAGTGACGCGACGCAGCTTGTGTCCGGTGAGACGGGTGAATTCCTGGGCAGCGGCACCGGCAACATGGGCACCCACATTCTGGCCAATCAAATGGATGGTGTCGAAGGGCATGTCCAACTCATTGACCATCTGGACGATCCACTTGCCGATCTTGGCGCCGGTCTTCTCGATGTCGAGCATGGCATAACGCTGGTAGTTGTTCAACTTGGATCCCAAATCGATCACAATAATGTCACCGCTCTGGGTCTTGGCGTTCTTCACCTCCTCGCTGGAGTCCTCCTCGCTGCTGGTCCTCTGGTTCCTCTTCTGCTCGTTGCTCTGATCCTGGTAGTCCTGGTTGCCGTTCTTGCCCTGCTGGCGCTGCTGCTGGAGGTTGTAACGCTGCATGTAGGCCTGGACCAGCTTCTTGGTCGCCTTCTTCACGGTCTCGGTGGTCTGGGGCAGTCCGGTCACAATGATGGTCACCTCGTCCTCGCCAAAGTTCTGCTTCTGCTTCAGGCGCTGGATCATCTCGTTCAGGGGGGCAACGGTCTTCTCGCCATTGGGCTTAGGGACGTAGGCCTGGATGCCGCTGGGCACGAAGTTGGGCTCCACGTTGTGGTGGATCTGGGACAGGTGGTCTATAAACAGGATTTGAATTATTAATTCTGGAAAACTAAAAGGAATTTTCTTTAAATTTCACTCACAAATTTGCTGCAGAAGCTCGGCGCCACGCTCCAGGTTCATGTTCTCCAGACGCTCAATGGTCAGATCGTCGACGGCTGGGATGGCCTCCAGTTGGGAGCCGGAGAGCCACTGCGATGGCTTCAGGGCCTGGTTGACAGAGTTGTCCATACGGCTATTGGGCTTGGCCAAAGCGGCGACCGCCAGGCAAGCCAAAAGGCTCAGCACTCTCATGGGGTTCATGGTTCGGATTCGGATTCGGGATTCGGTCCTGGGGATGCGACTTCAACACTGAGCGAGTTGAACTGATTTTCCAGAACCCCCAATACCAGCTTATATAGCCCCGAAAGTTCGTTTAGCATTTTACCACTTTCAGACTCTCTTTCCGCTGGGTCAGGTTTAATCGGGGCGCTAGTGCTGAGTAAGGGTTTCTGGGGCCTGGGAATCGGATGAGTATATATGCTATCGGTGGCTGAATAAAATGTATATACAATGTATAGAAAAGTAGGCACGGGCTATACCTATACCTATAAGTTGACCCCGCTGATGACTTAGCAGCACCTGCGGCCGCCTGATAATTTTAATTTGTAATCACTTTGTAGGCTCCGCTGATTGCAACATTGTAGTCTGGCCCCGGATTTGCTCAAATTTACATTCAAAATCTATCCAATTTTAACTTAATATCTCATAATCTTAAATACTATTTAATATTCTTTAGTATTTTTATTTAATTTGTGTTTTTTTCACTTTCATTTTGCTTAATTTATGGGGTCTAATTTTCCATTTCCATTTCAAGGCCAGGCGTTTAAGTTCATTGATTCCAGATTTTCGCCCTTGATAGGGATTGTGTGGAATGTTTCTAGTTTCCAGGCCAGATAGTAAAGATTTACATATTATTAAATATTTTATTATGCACTCTAGAAATGCCATTCAGGAGCACACTTAGTTTAAGTCTTTGTTTTTGTAGCTTTTAAGAGATTTTAGTAGGTTTTCCGATGTTAAATGGATTTTTTGTTTAATTTTTCACTGGGCTGTCTGCAAAAATACTTTTTGATCCAATTTTGATTACTTTTAAAGATATTGTTTATAAAATTCCCGATGACACCACACTTAAGTTGTATTGAAATATGAAACCTTTCTGATCTTGCTTTACTTACAATTTTTATTTATAATTTTTCGGGATTTGTTGATATTAACTGATAAGGAAAATGAAGTTTATTTACTTTGTATTTCCTAGTAAGATGTATGATAAATCCTGCAGTCTGTACAAATTTCTTTGACAATTTATCTAGTTCGAGATAAAAAGTTAACCAGTTTGTTTTTAAATCTTCTATTTTATTGATAATTATATCTGAAAATTCTTAAAAATTTTAATATTTTTAAAGTTTCAAAGGTCCAGGCGGCATCTGAAATAAATCCCTTCATTTATTATCCATCAGCCATCTAAGTTTTCAACTTCTTTTAGTAAAAAATCTTACAAGTTTCAAAATAAGTTCCAAAAGTAGCATAAATTTGTTAAGTATTTTTTATAAACAAAAGCTTAAGCTTGACCCCGGCATGAGTTCAATTCGTGCCCCTTGTCCAAGCCCGTCCCCCTTTTGGCCAAAACCCGCCTTTTGTTTATGTTTCTGAAAGTGCTGAATATTGAGGAAAATCTGTGGGACTGGAAAAATCAAAGAGCTGATCAGAAGTGTTGCAAAACCACTGACGCGGCGAATCAATATTTGTGCTGATATAGAAATCGGTTGCTGGAATCAATTGCTTCCGGCGCGTGCATTACACCATCGTCTATATATGCATTATATACCTATATACTTGCCGATCCGAAGGGGTATAAAAGCCCATGGGATCGTGGGTTTAGGTATGCAGTACAACTTGGTACGGTGTCTGAAAAAGTCGAACTTGGAAGCCACAATGAATCCTCTGCGCAGCCTTTGCGTTCTGGCCTGCCTTTTGGCAGTGACCATGGGTAACCCCCAGTCTGGAAGCCGTTCCGGCCGACGATCCAACTCCCTGGACAATGTGGAGCAGCCCAGCAACTGGGTGAGCCCCCGGGAAATCGAGGATCTGCCATCTTTGAAACAGGTTAGCCTCAAGAAGCTGCAGGAGATGAGCCTGGAGGAGGGCGCCACGCTGTTGGACAAGCTCTGTAAGTTAGCAAATCTCTGGTAATCATCTAGAACATCCCATTTAATGTTAAACCCATTATCCCGTAGACCACCTGTCCCAGTTCAACCATGTCTTCAAGCCTGACTACACCCCGGAACCCAGCCAGATTAAGGGCTACATTGTCGGCGAGCGCGGCCAGAAGATCGAGTTCAACCTGAACAACTTGGTGGAGAAGGTGAAGCGTCAGCAGAAGTTCGGCGACGACGAGGTCACCATCTTCATCCAGGGCCTGCCCGAGACCAACTCCCAAGTGCAGAAGGCCACCAGGAAGCTGGTTAAGGCCTACCAGCAGCGTTACAACCTCCAGCCCTACCCGACCACCGACTCATCCAGTGAGGAGCAGAGTCAAAAGAGCTCCAGCGAGGAGCAACAGAACCAGCGCAGGAGGCAAAACGATGACCAGGAGGACTCCAAAACCGGTGACCTGATTGTGATCCAGTTGGGCGATGCCATCGAGGACTTCGAACAGTACGCCACCCTGAACATTGAGCGCGTTGGAGAGATCATTGGAAACCGTCTGGTTGAGTTGACCAACACCGTGAATGTGCCCCAGGAGATCATCCATTTGATCGGTACTGGACCCGCTGCCCATGTTGCCGGAGTTGCTGGACGCCAGTTTACCCGCCAGACTGGACACAAGTTGCGCCGCATCACCGCCCTGGACCCCTCGAAGATCTACGGCAAGCCCGAGGAGAAGCTGACTGGATTGGCCCGTGGTGATGCCGACTTCGTCGATGCCATCCACACTTCCGCCTACGGAATGGGAACCAGCCAGAGGTTGGCCAATGTTGACTTCTACCCGAACGGACCCTCGACCGGAGTTCCCGGAGCCGACAACGTTGTGGAGGCCGCCATGCGCGCCACCCGCTACTTCGCCGAGTCCGTGCGTCCCGGAAACGAGAGGAACTTCCCCGCCGTTGCCGCCAGCTCGTACCAGGAGTACAAGCAGAACAAGGGCTATGGCAAGCGCGGCTACATGGGTATCGCCACCGATTTCGATCTGCAAGGCGACTACATGCTCCAAGTGAACTCCAAGAGCCCCTTCGGCAGGAGCACTCCCGCCCAGAAGCAGGCTGGCTACCACCAGGTTCACCAGCCCTGGCGCCAGTCCTCCTCCAACCAGGGTTCCCGCCGTCAGTAGATCATCGATCAGTGATCCATAGATGACAACCAGATCGCACACCCCTCATGCGAGCGAACCACTCCAGCTCATCCTCATCCAGCAGAACCTTCTGCCCTTAGCATCCACTATGTATAGTTACGCTTCGTTTTTTAATTCACAATAAAAAACCTTTGCATTTTTAAATATTTGAAAGATTTTTAAGTAATTGGAAAATTCTAGTAATGAACTCATTTTCTTTTGAGATTTAGCTTTCTTGGATTTTTGAAATATTTTTTGAATTTTTTAATATTCACTTTAGCGATTTAGAATGTTAGATTTAAGCCTGGAAATAAGAAAATGTCGGATCAAAATGAATTACTACTAAATTACCATTTTCAGAGCAATGGGGGCCTTGCTCTTTTTAAAGCAAGCGGAACGGGTCCTGTTTTATTCTGCTTGTTGTATTGGTATTCCTTAGTTCTATGATAGCAACGAAGAAAAAGAGGAGCCAAAAGGAGTTCGTAATTGAGTGAAAAGCATGGCAGAGAGAGAGAGAGATGGCAAAGGACACACACGAATTGGGTAGAATGGTAAAAAGCTGACTTTTGGGAATGAGTTCGATTCCGGAAAGAAGACGAGCAGGAGTTCGTAATTGAGTGAAAGGCATGGCAGAGCAATAGATTGCTGTCGAGTGAGGTTTGTGCTGTAGAGTCGTAGAGTGCTGTATAACTCGTTAGAGAGAGATGGCAAAGGACACACACGAATTGAGTAGAATGGTAGAAAGTTGGAAGCCGACTTTTGGGAGTGAGTTCGATTGCGGAAAGAAGACGAGCAGGACTTGCTGTGCGAAGCAACTTATTAATAAACATAGAAAACGAAACGATTAATCCGATGTATACATATATAGCTTCTTATAACCTTTTTGAAATACATTCAAAGATTTTGAAAGCTATACGATTACTAAAAAATCTACATAAAAGTTTCTAATATTTATTCGATATCAATAGCCAAAAAACCTTCATTTCCACCCACTAAAACCAAAGAATCGATCGAAAAAGATTTGGATTACTCGATATGTTTATTTAATAATGAAAGCATATTATCCATTATGGTATATAGCGTATACACGCCCAACCACACATACATATATATATATGGCGCTATATATATACATATATATATATGGGACGATAAACTACAGACAATATTTCCTTTGCTTACTACTGAGTTAGCAGGCGCAAAAAAAAAACTGGGTTCAGATATCACTAAGCTTAAATAAGAATAATTAACGTAGAATTTCAACTTCCTTATTCTGATCATAATCATCGTCATCATCGTTTTTTCGTCAACCTCAGCAGAACTAATCACAAATTGGGAAAAAAATCATATACAACACGGGAAATGTAGGGAAATGAATTTTCACTAATGCGAAAAAGGGTCTCCAGATGAGGTGGGGGTAGATGGGCTTTGGAGGCTTATTTAGGGCTGTGGTTTTATCAGTCTAGTCCCGGCAGGGCTGATTCGCGGGCGACCAGGTGCACATCCCGCCGACGCCGTCGTAGGCGAGTCCCTTGGGACAGGTGTACTCCCATCCCACGATTCCCCCTGTCTCCTCGAAACGGGCGCAGGATATAAACTTCCTGCAATTGAGAGGATGTGGGAAATTTCCTTGCGCCCGGCACTCGATGATGCCACGTCCATGGACAATGACCTTGGTGTCGCTTTTGGCTGGTGAAATGCTTCCACTGCGTCGTCTCTGGGCCACCTGACTTTGACCCACTGGGAATCCTTCCTCCAAAAGCTGACTACTGCTCGAGGTGGCCGTTAACAAAGCGCTTTTGGCCGGCGGACGGCTATAAACCTCGATATACTTGTGCGGACGACGACGGCTCTGCTGGCGACGGGAAAGAGGTGGAGCCGAATGGCCAGCAGGCGTGGATGATGACCCCAAGGTAGGCGTGGTCGCGGGCGTGGCTGTGGTCGATTGCGGCCGGCGAGGGCGTGGTATCAACTGGCGTCCTGCAATAAGATTAAAACCAATCAATTACAGAAGTGCTAACAAAAGGTTGAATTCAGGTAGAGGAGTTTAAATATTACATTAATCTTTATTCATTTATCTTCTTAAAAATATGCAAATTATTTTAAGAAAAAAGTATGAGATTGCGAATCGTTTAATATTTAAAAAGTCAGCAAATTGTAATTTATTCAAATTCAAATTGGGAAAAATTCTTGAAAACTCCAAATCAAAAAACAAGAAACAGAAATGTAAAAGAAACAAAAATTTAGCGCGTTATGAACATCTTAAAAATATTTGAATATTTCTATGATTAGATAATATTGATAAATTGAAATAATTAAGTACATATGTATTTATATTTTTATTAAGCGAACAAAACATATTTATCAGGTCTATATAAAAATATTTATATGATGTGCACTAAATACAAAATCAATCTAAATATCAATTTATTACGATAAAAACTTGACCAAATGAATTGTATTTTTATTTTTTTATTTGTTTAAATTGGTCAGTATTTAGTTTAAATATGATTTGTGTGTATTATCGACTTGCTCGTCCGTAAGCTTTCAGTGCTCGCGGTGCTATTCCACTAACAATTTTCCGTTATCCTCTCTCCGCCTTATCCCATCACCAACTGCAATATAATTTGTTGTTGTTTCTTCTTCGAACTCCTTGCTAAATTTCTTCGTTTTACTCTTTCCGCCTCATTCCGTCGCTAACTGTTCTTTTTTCTGCCTCGCTCGTCTTCGGACACTTGCACTGGAAATCATTCAATTTTTCGTTTTCTCTTTCCGCCTAATTCCGTCGCCAACTTTAATAAAATTTGTTCTTGTTTCTTCCTCGATCATCCTCAAACTCCTTGCTATTCCACCAACACTTTTTATTTTTCCTCTTTCCGCCTCATTCCGTCACTAACTGTTCATTTCCTTCCTCGATCATCCTCGCGCACTTGCACTGGAAATTATTCCTTATAACTTCTGTTTGCACTTTTGAGTTAATTTAGAATTCGGTGGGTCAGTAAAATGAGTGATGAATTGGTTACCGAAAAAAAGTTTTTGTTTTCCTCAGTGTACAGCGGCAAACGAACACAAAAGCGTCACTAAATATGTGCACGTTTTGTTGTATTTGTGTTAGCTTTGCCGTAAGACAAATTTGAGCACTCCTGCTTTAAGGAATGGAAATTATGAATATTGCATGCTAATAGCATTTAAACGGAGAGAACAATTTTAACTCTTATCACTTAAAAATGGAAAAAATATCTACATACATATGTATGTATGTTCAAATTAAGATCTATGCTATATCCAATAAAGGATTGATTATAACGTCAACGTAATAATACCAACTTCATGTTTTAATAAAATACTTACTTATGCCCTGGCTAATAACAGGCAGTGGCGCATTGGTAGTGGTGCTAGCCGTGGTGCTGGTGCTCTTCAGTGGCTGTGCTGGCAATGCCAAATCGTATTCCTCGCGAGAACGCACTTGCTCGGGGATTTGGTTGAAACGACTGGTGTGGATGCTCGACTTGGCCACCTGATCCTCATCGTCGTCATTCAAATACAAAGTGGTGGTGGTTTCCAGACCAGTATTTGGTGGATTTGTGGTGCGGGCAGTTGGTGGAGTGGTGGATATCAGGGTGAGCCGGCGCTTAAAGAGCGGGTTTTGGGTTCTCGGCACATCAGTGGCTATATAGTGGGATATTATCATCAGATTATATATGTACATACATACGTTAATATACAAGTCAGCCATAAACCAAAAAAAGGGTGCAACATTATTAAAAAATAAATAGTGGTTATCCCACATAGTCAGTTATTTTTTATGGGCTTGTCAAAAGCTTAAAATAAATCTTCATTGTGGGAATTTCTAGTCTACAAAACATTTTCATTATACGAGGTGTGTTCAAAAAGTAAGGTGACTCTTCAAATTTCGCGAATTTCAAATTTTTCGATTATCGAAACCTTTTAGAAGTTATACGAGGTGTGTTCAAAAAGTAAGGTGACTTTTCAAATTTCAAATTTTTCAAATTTTTCGATTATCTTCAGTTTTGGGAACAAGAAAAAGTCACATTGGGCCAAATCCGGTGAATATGGTGGCTGAGGCATTATTGTGGTGTTGTTTTTGGCCAAAAAATCCAAATCCTTTGATCCATATTTTTCGATAGCAAAAAATCGCCGAGCTCGCAAAATAACTTGTAACTTTACGCCTCTCACAACCAAACAAAAGAGGATGTTCCATTGAAACTTGGTACAGATGTTAGGGAAGAGTGTACCAATATAACAAAACAAAAAAATCGATAATCGAAAAATTTGAAATTCGCGAAATTTGAAGAGTCACCTTACTTTTTGAACACACCTCGTACTGTACATTACAAAAGATAGTAAATAAAATATTTTTAAACGAACAAAAAATACTTTCTTTTGTCTGCCTTTTTTTTTTACTTTAATTTACATAAAGTTTTGGGCATAAAAACGCGAATAAAAACCTTAAGAAATGTGAGCAGGGAGAGAGTTGTAAACACTTCAGTGCATGCACAGTAAGAGATTGTGCACTCTTTAAATATTAATTTTAATAAAAATTAACTTTATTATTATTAACTTAACTTAGTTTTATTAAGCCCTATTTATAGTTTTAAATATGTGTATTAAGGTAACTAAACATTAAGCGGTAAAGTCCGCAACACCTCTGACAGACCTTTAAGATTTTTTCCCACTGTACTTACCACTCTCATCGCCGTTGGCTGCCGGTGCGAAGGTTGTCAGTCGACGCGTTTGAAATTGGCGACGCAGTGCGAAGCTGGCGGGCTGGAACTTGTGTTGTTTTTGTGTGATGTCATTGCTGCTGCTGCTGCTGCTGCTGATGTTGCTGCTGTGTATGTTGCTAGTTGCTGGCGTCAGTGTTGCTGCCTCACCGGATGCCGCTGCTGCTGTTGCTCCGCTCTTGGCTTTCAGCTTGTTCAGGTAGATGTTGCTGCTGGTTCTGCCGCCAGCAACAGATGTTGCTGTTGGGAAGGCTGTAGTTGCTGCTGCTGCGGTTGTAGTTGCTGCTGCTGCGGAGGCTGCTGCTGAGGGTCTGCTGCGCAGTCGGTTGTATTTGGAGGTCGTTGGTGGTTCTGCTGGCTGCTGCGTGGTGGCTTCAACCACTGCCGACGTCGGTGAGTTGATAACCCGCCGGCGGACACTCAACACCGGTCGCCGCGAAACGCTGGCAGTCGATGGTTGACGCAGCTGCCAGTTGGTAGTCGATAGTCGTTGGTTCACAGTACATGAAATTATATAAAAAAAAAAACAGATATTCAATTTAGCATTCGGGGAATTTTTTGTTTTTGGATTTTGAATTTTGGAGATTTTTGCAACTCGCTGTGTGGTGTTCTTTTTTTCGTGCGTTTTCCTGGCGGTGTGCAGTCAACAACAATTCAAAAGCGCGCTACATGCTGGACTATAAACAATAATAATAAATCATATTAATAAATTACAGAATTAGTTAAACAATAAGGAAACTACATAGGAGATCTACAAAAGCCTTAAATAAATTAGTACTGTTTGGCGTTTGGCTGGGTTTTTGTGTTGTGTTTTTCTTCTTCTGTGGGTCTGTCGTCTGGGCATTGGGAAAGGAAATGGATATGGAAATGTAAATGGAAAGGAAAGGAAAGGAAAGGAAACCCTTCAAGCGGCACTTTCTCTTGGCAATCGCCACAAGATCAAGTCTTGACCGCTAAGTGGAGCAACAACCGCAAAAATGCAGTCAGGCATTTTAATTGAAGGACGTTCGAGTGCAAAATAAATAACACACACACAGGCATAACAAGTTATTTGCTTGGCTATTTGCTATTATTTTGTGCTAGTTTTGCTCTGTCCACCAATCTGGTTGACATTGAAAGCAGCTTGTGGTATTTATTGTAATTATAAAAATGATATGATATAGTAATTATCATTAAACTGTTTCCCAATAAGCTATTTTCTATTAGAAAAAAACCAACAAATTTGAAAGATCAACTGCTTGACCTTACAAACATTCTTTGATCTGTCTATAACTCACTTTTAACCTGATTTATCTACTTAATAAGATTTAACATCCCTTCAAATTATCTTCAACCTATAGTAGTAGTTCATTCATACCCAAGCTAGACTGTACAAAACGCCCAGAGAGAGTTGCTGGCTTAGAGATTTTTTTGGTGTCAATGTCGCACACACCTTGAAGACAATGAATGGGCCGGAAAAATACGCATCAGCCGCAGCGTTTGCATAACGCTGATGGGCTGCTTCTTCGATTCGCCACAGATCGTAGCCTGTATTACTGGCTGGCTGACAGCATCTTGTGGTATTTGGCAAGCTGCTGATTCGACTGCATGCCAATGTGATTGCATAATCTGAATCCCCAACATTCCCAGTTGGTTTTTTCCTCATTGGCAGATGAGCAGATTGCTTGTTTGTTTGTTTGTTTTTTTTCTTCTTTCTTTGGTGGCTGCAAACTGGTTGGTTTTTTATTAAATATTGTGCAAGCCAAGTTGGTCAGCACGGAGAGTGATGATGCGTGCAGGGCGTCGTCATCTGCTGATTTTCTGACTTCTCAATGGGATGGATTATTGTGAAAGTGGCAAAACGAAAGACTCAAGACACGAACGCGTTCGGGGAAAGCAGTGGCAGAGAAAAGGGTGCCGCTTTTTCAAGGGCAAATGAAATAAAAGAGAAAAGTGACCTTTCATTTGTGGTGGCAAAGAAAAGGGGTTCAAGTTTATAGAGTTGGTCATTGGCTTTATGGAGTTTAAATAAATGTTAAAAATTATTCAACTGCTAACGAATATAATCTTCTACTTAAGCATCAACATGTTTTTGAAGTGGCATCACATTTCCACACCTATCTGATACCGTTTTGTTAACCTCTTTTTCTGTGTAAACACTCCCTAACGAACTCTTCAAGAGTCTGATGATGATGATGACAAAAGCCTGTTACCCTGAGTGCAACACCTTTGATCTTCTCTTATGGCTTCACTTCATTGTCCGGGCCTTTGTTTGTGCGGCTTTTTATTATTTTCGAATGGGATTTTTCATTTCACGGGCACTTGGAAAGGAAAAACCTCCAAGAGCCTCCACTTCAAAATCAAGAAAAACAAAAACTGTTAACGACTTTTTGTCAACCTGATTTTTGGTGTCGCCTGTCAGTTCGTCGTCGTGTTTGTTATGCGGCGCGTGATTTGACTTTTGGCAATTATCGTTCCGAGGAGACTTGCTAGCTATTATGAAACATGTCTCGTCTGCAGAGTCCCTCTCTCTCTCTCTCTGTGTCTTAGCAATTTGCAAATTGTTTTAGCTGAACTCGTTTTTATTTTATGTATGTTTTTTTTTTTTTTCTGTTTTCCCGCTGACTTTGCACATCTTGCGGACTCATCGAAAGTTGAAACCGATTATCCAGACAGGCTTACATATAGACACACAGTGCATGTGTACTTATGAATAGGCATGTGGCAATAACCGCTCATACAACAAAAAGCCAACTTAAAGCCCGGCTGACATTTAACAAAGGCAAAAAAAAGAATTATAGACAAGAAAAAGAAAAAGAAGCCCAGGCTAATGACTAAGCAAATAACAAGCAAATTCTACAAGTGACATTTGGAAAAGCATCGAAATGAGGATGGCGAGGGGAAACCGAATGCATTTATAATTGCCAAAAACATGTTTACCAATGAACAGTCATTATCTATAACCTTTGGGATTTCTGAGAACAAATTTGTAAGGTCATTTCACGACTTGGGAAACTGGAAACTGTTAAGGAAAAGGTTGGCAATATTCGAGGAATCTCAATCTTCACAAAAAGAGTTTTCAAATTTGAAAGTAAAAGTTATTTAAGTAACCTGCTTATGCTAATATTATTTTTAAAAACCAAACAAAACTTAAAAACTTGTTAACTACCTTAAAAACCAAACCTATTTTGGATTAACCAAACCAAACATATAAATCTATATGCCTGAGAAGTTAAAGTATAATAAAGTCTTAAAAATGTATATACAATATTAACCCATTTGGTTTTCCTATATATACATTTTGGGGTTTTCAATTGGGTGGGTGGGTTAAGGTGGGTGGGGAGTCTTTCGTGTTCTGTTGTGGCAATAATAATTTGTATAGTTTGTTTCTTTTTGTTCATTATTTTATTGTTGTGCATAAATATTTTACAACTAAAGCTAGACTTAAAGTATTTCGGATAGAGAGGTAAAGAGTGAAAAAAAATTGATTAGAAAAGAGATAGAAATAGAAATAGAAATAAGAAAGAGAACTGCGCCTGGTATTAAGCCATTAAAAGTTATTTCAAGTTGATCAAGATTGTTTCCACTGAGGGTCGTTGTTTACGCTTTTTCTAGTCTAGATTCTAGATCTAGACTCTATTTCTAGAGTTACTATATATATTTGAACCAAGGAAAGACTTTTTGCATCTGCATTTATGTGAAAGTATGTGTGTGTGTGAGTGGATGTATATGTGTGGGTGTTGTTGTTGTTGTTGCTGTGATTGTTTTAGGTATGGCAGCTCGAAGAATACGAATTGTTTAAATAATTTACATAGCAAAAAAAAAACTACATACGAGTATACAGTAAAATATTCAAATTAAAAGCAGCAGCACTGGAAGATTTCGAAAGAGTATTTAAGCAGCCGAAAGGTTGTTCTTTTTTTTTTTTTTTACTTAATTTCATTTGCTTTGTGGTTGTTGTTGTTAAGCCAAAGCAACGCAGCCAATTATCTACGGTTCGGCAACGAAAGGGTTAAGCTGGGCAGAAGCTTTTCTTCTCTTTGCAAACAAAAATCGCGACTGGATAAGGGCTAAGACTAGAAATAACTAACTACGCTGGTTTTCTTTTCTTTTGTTTTTTGTTTTTTTTTTGTGACCTATTCTGGAACCACTGTGGTGGTGTCATCAAATGTCGCCTCCACCGTGGTTGGGGTCTCTGTTGTTGTGGTGGTTGTTGTGGTCGTCGTTGTTTTGTGATTGCGCAGGCGTCGACCACGCCCCTTGCCGACCCATCTTTTTCGATGCACCACATGCGTCTCGGAACTAAAGCTAACTGATTCGCTAACTTTTTTGCTAACAGTGGTGCTGTTGGCGGTGTTATTGGTGGCTGTTGTCTCTGTGCTTAGACTGACATTGCCACCAATGGCACCACTAATTGCACCACTTCTGAGCACTTGTTGATTGTCAATTGTGGTTGTTGTTGTTGTTGTTTGTGCACTTTCTGTATTGTTGTTAGTGACTGTTGTTTGTGTGTTCAGTTGGTGGTTGTTGTTGTTGTTGTTGTTGTTGTCAGCAATGGCTTCGGAACTAATAGCGCCACTGCTAATATCACTGGTTTGGGTATTTTCTTGCTGGTTGTTATCTGCGTTGGTCGTTTCGGAACTAACAGTGTCACTGCTAATTGAGCTTGTTGTTTGAGTATTTTGTTCATTGCTGTTGTTATTGTCTGCAGTGGTTGTTGTTGTTGTTGTTTGTGTATTTAGACCAAACTGACCCATAATAACAGCACCAACTGGCATGGCTGTTAGTGTTTCACTTTTGGCTTCTGTTTTGGTAAATGGTGTTTGTGTATTAATCTGTGGCTCTGGCTCTGTGGCGGTCTCAATGCTGAAGATTGTGGTTTCTTCAGGGACCTGATAGTCTTCTGACCTAATCGTGGTTGCTTCTATAACTGGTTCAATGTTCACACTAATAGCACCATTGACTGTTTGATCTTGTGTGTTAAGTGTGTTCGTTTCCTGAGCACCACTGCTGATGGGGGCCTGCACCACCAGCGGCTGGCGCACAGAGAAGGCCGAATTCGAATCGCTGGCAACATCGGGTGGTGCCACAGTAGTTTGGCTGCCCTCGGCCAGCGACTTTTGCACCTTGCTGAGTATCACCTGATCGAGATTGGCTATCGAAATGACCAGGGGCGAGGACTCATTGGACTCGGGTCTTAGGAGGGGTACAATGGGTCTTACGTAAGTGGGTGCCGATGTGGTGGTCTCCCCGGTTTCGGTGGCCGCAGCACTGCTACTGCTAATCGTAGTACTCTCCTCCGTCTCGGCAACGATGCTATTGCTGTTCAGTTGCTTGCCCTTCCGGGCCGAATCGAATAGTCCCTCCAGCGAGATGGTTGAGGTCTCCAAAGCACCAGCCAGAACTTCAGGCACCAAAGACTTGCCATTGCGATCCGAGTCGCTTGTTTCCGCATCAGGCAGAGAGTTCCTTACGGGCGCAGAGGCTGGAATTTGACCCGCTACGGTGGGTTCTGTGGGCGTATAATCCGCCACTGTGCTGTGGCCATCGTTGACCTGTATGTCACTGCCATCAACAAGATGGACGTATTTCACCACACTGATCTCGCCCAGCTGCTCCACATGGGGCAGAGACTCCACCCTCAAGATGCTAAAGTCCTGATTTGCCTTGGATTTCCTCTGAGCAGCCTTGGCCTGCTTGGAATTGATCTCCACAATGCGATTAATCTCAATCAACTTGTGCTTTGGCACCACCTCCGTTTGTATGGTAGGGGGAATGCGGATCTTTGGCTTTTTCGTCGTGGGCTCCTCTTCTTGGCCCTCACCCTCGAGCAGGGTGAACACATGCAACAAGGTGGTGGCCGGCGGCGGTGGTTGAGTGGTGCTCGAGAAGGATTGATCCTGTGAATTGACGGAAGTGGCTTCATTAGCATTGGTCGCTGTTTCAGTTTCGGTTACAGTTTCAGTTTCGGTTTCTGTTTCAGTTTCAGTTTCGGTTACAGTTTCTGGTGGCGTTGTGTCTGTGGTGGTGGTAGCTGTGTCTGACTGTGTGCTGGGTGGTGCTGGTGGTGATGGTGGTGGTGGTGGTGTACTGGGTGTGGTGGTCACAAAGCCCTGCTCCTGTTCCTGCTGCTGTTCAGTGGTTTCTTCTTCCACCGCCACCTCCGTTCCGGTTTCCACCTCTGTTCCAGTCTCGGACTCCACCTTGACCACCTTGGGCTTCAGGGCCGGGTGTTTCTTGCTGTGCTTATCGAAGATCTTCTTGTTTCTCGCATTCAGTGCATCAATATTCAGATCTTCTATCAGGGAATTCTCACTGGCCGTCTCTGAGGCCTCCGTGGATGGACCAGTGTACTTCCTCTCGTAACTCCTATTATTGCTGGGAATAAATGGAGCCGGTTTCAGTGGTGTCAACGGCGTGGTGCGTTCGTAGTCACTCGCCACGGGTTTCAGGGTTAGGTTCGGTGAGGCCACTCCCGGCGGGCGGTTAACAACTCGGGGTCGTTTTGTGGTGCCAAAGCGGTTGGATGGTGTACTATTTCCGTTTGCCGAGCTCGATGGACGATTGCGTGGATTGAAGGGTACATTTCCGGATGCCGTAGGTCCTGTTCCACTTCCGGTGGCTCCAAATGTTGGACGATTGCCGGGTGGAGCTCGGTTATCCTTTGGCTTGTAAGGGGAATTGAACTTGGGCTTGTTATCCTCCTGCGGCTTCTCCTCTTCTGCCGCTGGCTTTTCCTCCTCTTCTTCATCTTCATCCTCCTCTTCGTCTCCTTCTTCCTCAGAGTCTTCCTCCTCATCATCCTCCTCGCTTTCTTCATCCTCTTCTTCCTGCTGTGGCTTGGACTTATCCAAAGTCGGTCTAGTCTTGGGCACAAAAGGTCTACGCAAAGTGGTTGCAAACTGATTCTGCAGTGGGCGCTCGTGACGTTCTTCCACCTCCTCATCGTCATCATTATTGCCCTGGCTCTTGAATCGATCGGCTCCTGGCAATCTGGAGCCTCGTGGATCGCTTCTCACAAAGCCCTCGCCACGATTGCGGACGCTCGAGTTGAAGGGATCGAATCTGCCGTTCTTCTTGCGCACAAACTTGGCCGTGGGTCTTGTGGTGCTAAATGCCAGTGGGGCCTTGGTGGTACCTCCGCTGGCCGAGGGTGGTGTATAGGGTCTGCGGGCTACCAGTTTGCGTTTAAAGAAGGGTCTGGCCGAGGAAACAGATGAAGACTCCTCATCTGTGGAAGATTCTTCTCTTTGGCGAGTCGTGCTCGTTCCCTTCTCGGCCAGCAACTTCTTCAAACGATCATTGATCACGCCCTGATCACCTTCACCCCTCGCCTGCTCTGCCTTTACCTTGTCTCTCAACTTTTGCAAATCCGACAAATCCTGATCGTCCTTTTGGCCCAGTGTCTTGAATCGACTGCTAATTACACCGTCCTGTGGCTCACCTCTTGCCTGCTGGTCCTTGATCCGCTGGCGAAGATTCACAAGATCATTATCCTGATCAGCGAATCTGGTGTGGCTGGGAACGAAAGGTTTACGGGTGGTTTCATCGGCATTATCCACACTGGACGCGGTACTTGAGTCTACGGGTCTCAGCTTGCGTACAATCTTGCGGAAACGCTTGTTGCCGGTGGTGCTTGTGGTGTTGCTGTTGCTGTTGCTGCTGGTGGTGCTTTGGCCTATTGTTGTTGTTGGTGTGGCTGTGGTGGTGGTGTCTGGGTTAGTGTCAGTGGCGCTATTAGTGGAGCTATCTACGGTGGTGGTGGTACTATTGCTATTGCTATTCAAGGGTCTGCGGAATTTCAGCACACGTATGCGCTTTGGTGTTGGCCTGCTGGTGGTTGTTGTTGTTGTTGTCGTAGATGCGTTGGAGTCTTCTTCCTCCTCTTCTTCTTCCCCATGATCGCGGGCATCACCCTTAGTTTCGGTCTCTTCAGTCTGCTCATCGACTAGGGTTAGTTTAGTTACCTGGGCGCGCTGACGGCCCCCAAATGCCAATCGTCTGGCTGTGGTTGTTGTTGGGGGTTGCTGTTGTTGTTGTTGTTGTTGTGGTGTTGGGGTTGTTGTTGGGATGGTGTTGGTGGTGCTGCCTCTGGTGCGGCTCAATTGATAACGATTCTGAAAGCGTCGTGTGGAATTAACAACATTACCTAAGGCATTCAAACCAGCCCCACTCGAATTCTTATCCCCCTCATTCTCTAGACTAGCATCGTTATCATCATCGTTATCGTTATCGTTATCATTATCATCTCCATCATCTTCGTTATCTGAACTATCTGGCTTAACATTAGCTGTGACTGTGACTGGTTTGTTGTTTTTGTTTGTGTAACTGTTTGACTTGAATCGATTAATATAATTGGCTACGGTGCTGTTACTACGTTGACTAGCTACATTCAGTGCGGTGCTACGGTTAGTAAGATTGTTAAGGTTAGTGGTGCCTCTGCCCGGAGTGTTGCTGTGGTTTAGTGTTTGGTTACTGTTCGATACCTCGTCGGAGGTATCGTCATTCTCATCATCGTTCTCCTCCCCATCATCGCCGTCATTGTCTGAGTCAGTTTTCGTATGGGTAGCTTCGGTCTCCGTCTGTTTTTCGGTGGTTGTCCTCAGTGGTTGTCTTTGCCTGTTGGCAAGCAGTTGACTAAGTCGTGAACGTGCAGTGGTGCTGGTGACTTGAGGATCTACTGATTCTTCTTGATCATCTTCGCCATCTTCATTTTCATCGTAATCCTCTTCGGGTTCTTCCTCATTCTGATCCTGATCAATATCCTCCTCTGCTCGGTGGTAAAGGTTTCTATTTATGGCCACCAAATTGCGTCTTGTGCTAGAGCTTATCCTCTGTGGTGCTGCGGTGGTACGACGACCTGCAAAGCTTGGTGGTCTGCGTGCTGTGACCACAGCCACTGCCTCCTCCTCTTCTTCGGGGGTGCGTTGCAGAGCTCGATGGCGGTTCGTTTGAAGAAAGCCGGCACGTGGCGGTGCAACCTGCTCTTCTTCCTCATTGTCATCGTCGTCGTCATCATCATCGCCGCTTTCCCCACCACTGTCGGTGGTTGTTGTTCGCGGTGTTGTGAAGCGGTTACGTGAGCGGTTCAAGGCCGCATATGGACGACGTGTGCTAATCTCGTCGCCGTTCGTTGATCCCGGCGTGGTTGATCTGATGGAAGTCGCATTAAATCGGCGACGTGACAGAATAGGTCGCCGCGTGGTTGTTGTTGGTTCGCCCTGATCTATTTCATTGTCGGCACTGGGATTTGCGGTCGTCGTTGTTGTTGTTGGCACGGCAGTCGCATTGAAGCGTCGGCGTATCAAAAGTTGCCGCCTTGGTGGAATTGTCGTTGTCGCTTTTGGTGTTGAGCTGCTCTCCGTATCATTTTGATCGATCTCGTTCTCTAGATTTTCATCAGCAACTGGGGAGGCCGTAGTGGTTGTTGTTGTTGTTGTGGTGCCATTTAAGCGGCGACGAATTACCAACTGACGACGTGTGGTGCTGCTAGCTGGTGTACTGGTGGTTGTTGTTGTGGCTTCTGTACTAGGTCGAATTTCCTCCAGCGGGATCTCGTTGTCATCGTCTATGTGGGCTTCCAATTCGGGTTCTTCAGTGCTGTCTTCAGGTTCTTCGGTGGCTTTATTTTCAATTTCTTCTTCTGTTTCTTTATTTTCCACCTTACTTTCTTCTTTTGTTCCTTCACTGGTCTCGCTCTGAGAACTTACTGTGGTCGAATCTTCATTTTTATCCTCATTTTCATTTTCATTTTCATTATTTTCAATTTCATTTTCCTCTGGGCTCTCAGTGGTTGTTGTGGTTGTTACTCTGCGATTTATGCCCGCATAAGGTTGCCTTGTGCTTCTGGTTGTTGTGGCTGCAGCCTCGGTGGTTGATTCAGTGGCTTCCTCGGTGGTTGTGCTGGTGCTTCCTCTTCCTCTCAATCTAGTCAAGCCGGCATATAAACGCCTTGTTGTGGTTTCCACCTTCACATCTTCTTCCTTGTCGTTATCTAAAATGAATAAATCGTTCAAAAATGAGTTTTGTTTTATAATTTCCTCATTTTTTTGAAGTTAAAACTTGACTTGATTTAATAAGTTTAAGTTTGTAGAAAGATTTAAATGGCTTATTTTTTTAAGTTTTACGGCTTCCAGCTATGCATTAATTTTTAACTTCAAACTTTATTAAAATAAACTTAACAAAACTTACCGTTATCAGAAGAATTAGAATCCTCAACAGCATTAACAGGTCTTCTGGGGGTGAACACCCTTCTGGTTGGGGTTCTTATAAAGCTAGTGGATGGCACTGCAGTAGTTGTACTGCCCACTAGTGATTCTTCTGCAGATTTGTTTTCATTTTCGTCATCGACTTCTTCACTGTTTTCGGTTGCCACTGGCGTGGGTGTTGTTGATCGAACACGGAAACGCTGAGGAACACTGTAGCTTCTCCGGGTTGTGGTGTCTAGTGGTTCACTTTGGGTCTTCTCGCGCAATCTGGTGGACGGGGTCAAGCGTGTGCGGTTCAATCTGGTATAGGTTCGTAAAGCTCTGGCGTCTTCTTCGCCTCTTTCCTTTTCTTCTAGAAGAGAGAAGCTTACAATCTTGGAGGTCTCATTGCTCGAGTCTGTTGCTAGTGGTATAGTTTTAAAGGTCTTTCCTTGTCGTTGGATTGACTTGAGTTTTCCCTCGCTAACCTCATCATCTTCATCCTCATCGATCTCAGCGGTTATCTCATCATCATCTAGGGTTTCCTCTCCTGATCCGACCAACTTTGCCCCCGGGTGACCTACTTTGACCCGGGGGTTTTCAATAAAAAATGACCGAGTTCGGCATTGATTTCCTTGGCCTGCTCCATCGCCTGGCGATGGCCCTCGCTTTCTCCATCTTCGCCTAGAGAATTATTTGGTGTCTCATTTTCACTCACATTGAACACGTCGTGGATTTGCTGTTTAATGTTTACGGTCACACTTTCAATATCCGGTGGTGCCGGCGACTTGTCTATATAGGTAATCGGTGAATCCTTCACATACTGATAGTACTTTCTTCTGTGGTAAATCGGTAAAGAGAGCTTATCATCGCCTTCGTCTTCGGAGGCTTCACTTCCCTTCGTGACTGTCTGGCTTTCTAGTTTGTTTTCTGACTGCAACCGGTTGATGGCGTTGCTAAGCTGCACTTTAAGATCACTCAAATCTTCTTCGGTGGTGCTTGGTGTTGCTTCTGTGGTGGTTGTTGTCGTGGTGGTGCTGGTTCGGAGGCGGTTTACAAACTTCTGCTTAGCGGCTGCTAGCTGATCTTCTGTAGACTCATCTTCAACGGGAGCTGGTGTGGTGGTTGTTGTGCTCACTGGCCTTCTGTGGGCAAGAACTCTCCTGGTGGTACCTTCAGTAGAAGAAGACGTGGCTTCCTCGGTGGACCCATCTTCAATTGGAGACTGGGTGGTAGTTGTGCTCACGGGTCTTCTGAAGGTGAGCACCCTTCTGGTGGTAGCCTCTGAAGGGGTTGTGGGTTCAGTGGAAGTAGTAGTTGGTTCTTCAGTGGTTGTGCTGGGTTTTGAGGGTCGCTTAAAGGCAAAGCTTGCCCTCCGAGTGCTGGGCTCCACTTCATTTGGAATTTCAGTGGTTGTTGTGGTGGTTGTAGTACTGCCTCTAGTCGGTCTGGTTCTACGGATTATCGGCCTAGCTGTGGTGCTAACACGAGGCGTATCTTCTTCCACTTCATTGCCAGCTTCTTGACCTGCTTCATACTCGAATTCTTCAACCTCTTCGTGTTCGATGGTTTCTTTGGGTTTCTTCAGAAGACGTCTTCTCGTTTTGGTGACCGTTGTTTCAGCTTGACCTTGTTTTTTACGGTTACTACGAGAGGCAAAGTCCAGGGCCAGCAGCGAAGAGAGATCATTGCTCTCAAAGCGCACGGATCCACGATTGCGGGTCACCGTGCGACGGGTAGTGCTCGGCGTTGGTGGGTGAGTAACTTCATCGACAATGTATTCATACTCCGCCGGTTTCTCCTCCACCGTTTTGGTGTGGATGCGCTTAACAACCTTTTGGCCAGCCCCGAGGGTGCGCACGTAGGTGGTGCGAGTGCGCGTGACTCCATTGCCTAAGCTCTCGGTTTTAGTGGTGGTGCGGTTACGAACGGCATTTAATACAGTTCGGCCACTGTTTACCTTCTCCACACTTTGCGGTTCTTCCTGCTCGGCTTCTTCTTCTTTGGAGGAAGACGAATGACCATCAGGTGTTTCTGTGGTGCTCGTGGTGCTGTGGTTTCTGGCTCTTTTGTTGGCATCCGCTGCTAGAAGAGAGGAGAGATCTCCCTCCTTGCGAGGTCTGAAACTGCCACGAACTATAACGCGGCGCCTTGGCAAAGCTGTGGTTGCCTCATTTTCATTTTCACTCTCCTTGGCCGCTTCCGTGGTAGTTGTTGTCGTGCCTTCTGTGGTACTGCTGGTGCGGAAAAGGCTACGTCTGGTGGAGCTGCTCACTTCACTTTCTTCTGTAGTTGTTGTGGTTGCAGCTTCTGTGGTGCTCGGCGTTTTATTGCGGAAAAGCGAACGTCGAGTGGTGCTGGTATCTGTTTCAGCCTCATCGCTTATGGAACTGCTGTTAATTTCTTCAGTGGAGGCAGTGCTGGAAGCTACAGTGGTGCTAGTAGGAGTCTCAGTGGTGCTACTTCTGAATAACGACCGACGCGTTGGACCCTCAGTGATTGTCTCAACGTCAATTGCTGCTTCAGTGGTGCTGCTTTGTTCCTCTGTGGTGCTGCTAGATGCTTCAGTGGTGCTAGATCTGAAGAAGGAACGACGGGTTGGACCCTCGGTGGTTGTCTCAACTTCACTTTCTACTTCAGAGGGACTGCTGGGTGCCTCTGTTGTGCTGGTTCTGTAAAAGCTGCGACGTTTAAGACCCTCTGTGGTTGTTTGGGCTTCACTTTCTTTTTCAGTGGTGCTGATAGGTGCGTCTGTACTGCTGGTTCTGTAAAAACTACGTCGCTTTGGTCCCTCAGTGGTTGTCTGGGCTTCGTCTTCTGCCTCGGTGGTACTGGTCCTGGTGCGTACAATAACGCGACGTCTTGGGCCTACGGTGGAAGTGGATTCTTCTTCCGGCACGGCTTCTGATGTGGTTGAACTAACGCGGTTGAAAGAACGACGAGTGGGTTTTTCTGTAGTTTCTTCTGTGGTGCTAGTGGTGCTACTGCTCTCTGGCACTTCTGAGCTGCTAGCAGGCACCTCAGTGGAGTCTTCGCTGATATTAGAGGAAGTTTCTTTTTCAATGGCTTCCAAACTTGATTCAGTGGTGCTGCTGCTGAAGTCTTCAGTTGGTTTGGTTGAGCTGCTGGCAGGAGCTTCAGAAGAGTTGATTTCTGTAGCGGATTCTTGGTTTTCGGTATCCGAACTTTCTTGCTTTCCAGATTCTGTGCTCAAAGCATCCTTGGATTCGTTAACAACAGAATTCAGTTCAGTGGTGCTGCTGCTAGCTTCAGTTTGTTCAGTGGTGCTGCTAATCGTTGCTTCTGAAGAGCTCACATCTGCAGTTTCTGAGGGCAGAGTGGTGACTTCTAGCTGTGGTGGTGCAGGTTCTGTGACAATTTCGGGAGATTCCTGTTCGGTGGCAGTGTTACTATCATCTGCATTTTCACTTCCAGCTGGGGCTTTGGTCTCTCCTCTCTTTTCATCATCGATTATCTCGGCAGCCACATTCTCATCTTCGGTGGTGCTTTCTACGATCTGTCCACCTCTGCTTATAGGCTGATGGGGAAGTGTAGGTTTGGCAGCTTCACCGAGATTCCTGACAAAGCTTGAACTGCGTCCTGCACTGAGATGAGCACCACCTTCGGAGTCGCGAGTGATGGCTTTGTATCGGATTTGAGAGTCATCTGTGGAAGCTTTGCTAGCAGAGCGTTGGATGCTTTGATAGCTGCGGGAACCGTGAGATGCTGATTGGGTTGCCACCTCGAGAGCCACCTCGGACTCGTCTTCGGCGGAATTCAGACGACGACTGCGGAACTTGGTGGTGGTTTGCAGCTCCTCCTCTTCCACATTTGATACGGTGTTCAACTGCTTGCCGGCAAAGCGCCGCGAGTCCTTGTCGTCACCCGCTAAAGAATTAGGCACCACAGTACGCTGCGACGCGGGACGACGCACCGCTCGCCAAGTGTACTTGAAAGGAAGCTGGGTAGTGGTGCTGGGGACATCGGTTTCGATGTGGTTTTGGGATTGACTTAAACTAGAGCTAACTACTTCATGCCTTAAGCTATCATTGCCACCGTTACCAGCTACTTCTACTTGGGATTCTTGGTGGTGCAGTGAGGAGGTTTTTGTTCGTGTGTTGATTGCTGTTGCTGTTGGAAGACTGGCACTCACCTTGGGCCTATCCCCTTGGGATAGTCGTGTCTTCTTCACTACTTGAGCAACTGCATCGGTTTCGTTATCGTTATTATCGGTATTGTTATCGTTATCGGTTTGGGGAGAAGTGGTGGTGGTGGTGGTGGTGCTGGCTGTGGGACGTGTGCGACGTCGGGGATAACCAAAGGGTCTGGGACTAGAAAGGTTTGGTTCGGTGGTTGTGGTTTGGGTCTGTTCTGGTTGGGGTTGCCTTCTGCCCGGGTTGGTTCTAATTCTATTTAAACTACTCAAACCGTTTGTTGTTGGACTAGCATCGTTCGCTGCTTCTGCATTGTTGTTGTTGTTGCTGTTGTTGTTGTTGTTGTTCGTGGTTGTTGTTGTGGTTATACGTCGACGGTTGGTCGTTGCATACTTGTATTGGGTCTTAGTTTTCGTTACCTCGCTGTCCTCGTCCACGTTGTTCACGTCATTCAGTTCGTTGTTGCCTGTGATTGTTGTTGTTGTTTTCGGTGTGGTTGTTGTTGTGGCCAGTTCGGGTTCCGTTGTTGTTGTTGTTGTGGTTGAGGGGGTTGTAGTCGGCGTTGTGGTCTCTAGGTCGGGACTGGGAGGGAGATGGGTGGGCGAGGCTTCGCTCAGCTCGGTGGCTAGCAGAGAGTCTGAGTTAATGCCATTGTTGTTGGCGGTTGTTGTTGGGACAGTGGATGCTACAATTGGTGTGGGTGTGGTGGTATGCAGGTTGTTAGTTGTCGATGTGGTGGTGGTGGTGGTGGTTGAGGTGCTTTCGTTTGGTTCAGTGGTTTCGTTAGTTGTGGTGGTGGTTTCGGATTGGGCGGTGGTGCTGGGTGTTGCTGTGATGTTCTCTTCTGTTGGTATTAGGTTATTCAGTTTCACATTGTTGTTGTTATTGCTGCTGTTGTAGTGGTTCTTGTTGTTGTTGTTGGTGGTTGTTGTTGTTGTGCTGGCCTTGGCAGTCTCAGTGCCGGCAGTTGTTGTTGTAGTTTCTGGTGTTGGCGTTGTGGTGGTGGTTGTTCTGCGGCCGATGCTCGCATATTTACGTGTGTTTGTGGTTTGTTTGCTCTGTACCGTAACAATGTCCTTTTGCTCGTCCTCGTACTCCTCCTCTTCGTCCTCCGTGGGATCTTCGGCATCCTCGACAGTGGCACTCTTGGTGGGTCGCGTGCGCTCAAAGTATTTGTAACTGTCAAGGGAAGATTTATCGATTAATCAAAAGAAGAATCATTTTATTTTGTATTTTATTTACTCACCGATTAGTTGTCGAACTGGGCGCTGGTTCCGTGACCTCTGGTGATGCCGTGGTGCGTCCACGTGTACGGCTCAAGGTGGCATAGGATTTGACCTGAGTCTGGGTTTGCTGCTCCGCCTCCTCCTGGGATTGTTCTGCTGGAGGTGCCACGGTAGTGGGCCTTGTGCGTCGCAGACTTGTGTACGAAGGCGTTACCGAGCTCAATGGACGACGTGTGGTTGTCTCAACTTCGGCCAGGTTCTCTTCCTCTTCCTGCTGATCTGCATGCTCCTCCTCATCACCCTGACTGGCAGATCGATGGCGATTGATGGTGACATATTGTTTGCGCTCCTTCAAGAAGCCATCGAACTCGGCCAGCTTCTCGATGCCCTCGTTTTGTGGTCCCTGTCGGCTGTTGCCCCTCAGAACTGAGGAGTACTTGGAGTAGCTGTTGGAGCTGCCACTGGGTGCAGCACTGGTAGCTGTTGCTTCCGTGCTCGTCTCCGTGGCTTCGCTGAGCTTGAAACGATTGCGACTGAAAGAACTCAATGTTCCAGGACGACTCAGCACACGATCATACAGAGATTTGCTAATGGTAGAAGGCGTGGTGGCTGCACCATTGGCAGAATTTTCCTTCAAGGTAATCGATCCGTCCTTGTTGCGCAACAGATGCTTCTCCAGCTGCTCCACACCACCCACTTTGCGAATCAAGTCGATCAGCTCCTTGATCACTTGTGGATCTTCCTCAGCATCCGTTGACTTGCTAGGCGATAGTTCATCGGTGTCCTCCTCGTACTCGAGATCTTCATCGACACTCGCTGGTGTGGTGGTTGTGGTGGTCGTAGTGCTGGTTGTGGTGCTGCTGGTCGTGCGTGGATACACTGGACGAGCCGTGGGTGCAGCTGTCACTCGATTCGAACGCACTGTCGTGGTCAGAGGGGTTGTTGAGGTTATTGGTGCCACAGTGGTGGATCTAAGGTGGAAAATGAAGGCTTAGTAAAGGATTTTGAATATTATAAAACCATTATATTTACTTCTTGGTCTTGCAGGGTACATTGCGGGCAAAGTCGCATGAGTCGGCGGCTGGGTTAAAGTACAGTCCCGATGGACACGTGAACATGTGAGCCACAATTCCCAGACCAGATGGTCCACTATCCAGACACCAGTAGTACTTCTTGCAATCTCTGGGGTGCTGGAAGAAGCCCTCCTCTTCGCACTTGAAGTCAGAACCTGGATCCGGAGTCGTTGGTGGTGGTGGCGTGGTGGATGCACGGCCACCAATGTAAAGAGAGGATCCCTCAGCTTCGGTCAGCTTAAAGGTGGTGCTTGGCGGTGGCGGTTGGGTGGAGCTCACTGTTGGTCTTCTAGTGGCACTGGGTCTCCTGGAGCTGGGTGGTGCTTCGGTCTTGCCGTTAAGACGGTTCCTGGTTCCAGCATTATCGCGACTGCGGGATCTTGAAGGTTTCTGTGGACCACTTGGCTTGGCAACCTCGTTGATGCCCAGTCTAAAGGGGATTGAGAACATTGAAAACCTTGAAAATATCTAAAAAGTATATTTGCCTCACCCTAATGCCTCCACCATAGCTTCCTTGGCCGCCTCAATAAGGGGATATGGCTTTCCATTGCAGACTCCACGGAAATCATCGTTGTCAATGGCCCAGAACATAATTCCACCCAGTCCCTGGGCCACCACATACTCGGCCTTCTTGCGCACGATGGCCTCGTCGTCATAGCCCACCCACTGGTTGCGCCTGTAGGCATAGGGACCCATAACATTGGCATTCGGCTGCACCACAGTCCATTCGGGGTCGTCCTTGAGGGTCTGACAGATCTGAATGGGAAAAGAATAAGTTAGTCATAACTCTAAGAACCCTTTAAGCTGTTAAGGTTAACCAACCTCATAGTAGGCCAGATATCCCTTTTCGCGCGTGGCATCACCCTGCTCTCCTGGACCCTCTGAAGGTGCTCCCAGTTCGGTGCTCTCCTCGTTGATCAAAGTATAGGATCGTCCATAGGTTGGTATGCCCAAGACAAGCTTGTCACGATCCGCACCCGCTTTCAGATAGTATTTGATGGAGTAGTCCTGCATGATTATATTGGAATCTATATAGTAAGATAATGTGTTCTTAGGACTCAAACTTACAATATTCAACTCGGCATCGTAGTTGTACTCGGAGTCCTCCTCCAGCGAGTAGAGCGGAGCATGGTGGTTAACAGATGGCTCGTGGGATGAATGGAAATCGTAGGTCAGGACATTGAACCAATCCAGATACTTGTTCAACTTGGGGACATCGTAACCCTTGTCGATGTACTCAATGCCAGCGGGAACTGCCATGGTCAACAGGAGACGAGTGCGTCCAGTTTTCTCCGCTTCCCTTTCGAACTCGGCCCTCAACTCTTGGACAAACTGGGCATAGTTATCGCGATCCCGGGACTTGCCGCCCTCTCGATGGGCTGGGTACTCCCAATCCAGATCAATGCCATCGAAATGGTTCTGTCTCAAGAATTTCAGGATGTTCTTGATGAACTGCTGACGACGGTCGTTACTGGCCACCAATGGCGAAAACCTGGAACTGGCTTCGTTCCACCCGCCAATGGCAATCATGGTCTTCAGCTGTTTGTTGTACGTTTTGAGTCCAGTGAACTTGGCATAGCCACCTGATTAGAGTCATAGAGGGATGGATGGTCATCAGACGGTCAGGAAATTAAAGCCGAGTCAAATTAACTCGCCGGAAGGAATGGGGGCGTGTCTGTGTTTACGACAGACTCCGTACTCACCCTGTTCTATGTCCTGGTACTTGTCGAAGGGTTTCATCTGGTTGTCCTTGGTGAATCCACCGAATGCGTACACCAAATGTGTACACAGGTATGGATTTATGTTCTGTGGATTGAACTTGGCCGTGCCCGGTCGATAGACACTCCAGTTTGTGTAGTAACAGACCACGCGACCCTCGCTGCTGGCTTCTGTTAGTGATGGTTAGTGATAGGGAAAACAAAGAGATTTAGTAAAAGTTTACAAGGCATATTTTGAGTTTTATGTTAAATTATAATAATTAATAAATATATCAACAGCTTTAGAGGGAGTTTACATCACTTAGCAATTAAATGAAATATAAAATAGAGCATGGATATGCTTATGCCTGTGCTCTGAGTTCTCATTTGTTTTTGTAAATTATCCCTGCTTCCTATCAACTTGCTCTTCCGAAAGCTTTGAGCGCTGGCGGCGCTATTCCACTTGCAATTTTTCGTTTTCCTCTTTTTGCCTCATTTTGTCGCTAACTGTAATATATTTTGTTCTTGTTTCTTCCTCGATCATCCTCGAACTCCATGCTATTCCACCTACAGTTTTCTTTTTCCTCTTTCCTTTCATTTGTCGCTAACTGTAATATATTTTGTTCTTGTTTCTTCCTTGATCATCCTCGAACTCATGCTATTCCACCTACAGTTTTTGTTTTCCTCTTTCCGCCTCACTTCGTCGCTAACTGTAATATATTTTGTTCTTGTTTCTTCCTCGAACATACTCGAACTCCATGCATTCCACCTAGGATTTTTCGTTTTCCTCTCTCCGCTTCATTCCGTCTATAACTGTAATATATTTTGTTCTTCTCTATCATCCTCAGACACTTGCACTGAAAATCATTTCTTATAACTTCTGAGTTCACTTTCGAGTCCCTTTCGCATTTGGCGAGTGAGTAAAATGAGTGATGAATTGGTAAGCAAAAATAAGGGTTTCTTTCTCTCAGTGCACAGCTGGAAACCAACAAAAAAGCGTCACTAAATATGTGCATGTTTTCTTGTATTTGTTTTGCTCTGTGAATGCTCTGCCGTTAGGACTAATTTGAGCACCCCTAAAGTAGAGCTTCTGAAGCCAAAGTTAGAAACGTAATGAAATAATTTTGTAAAAGTTAAAAACAGCCATAAATATTATACAAAAAATAAAAAAACTTTCAATAAAAGCAAAAGGAAATGCTTTATTGTTATTTTTACCCAATTAACCATAAATCTAGCCAAAAACTCATCAAATTCTTTAGTATTATTTATTATAGTTTAATAATCAGAGTAACACTTACCATTTATGCAATAGGCGAGAGCGCAGAGCAGGAAGAGCGTTTGCCAGGCCGCTCCACGCCGGAACTGCAATAGAGGAAGGAGAACATTAAACATTTAATTTGGCCAATAATTATATCAGTTCGATCCCCCCACAGATTTTTGGCCAACAGCAGCAGCACGAGGCGGAAGCCATCGGCGGGCAGCCCCAATTAGCATATCGAGATTGCTAGATGCGATCGCCATGGGCCATCAGCATTGACACAGTGACATCGATGGATAGGTCGCGGAGATTCGCGGGAGATCGGAGATTGAAGATTGAAGATTGGAGATTGGTGATCGGTGAGGTCCGCATAAATCTGGGCGAAACAAAAGACCAAAGACACGAACTCAAAGATGTGGTTCCCATGAAGGTCGCCCATCAAATCGCGTCTTACATAATCACATATTGTGACGAGATGAATTTCATATGCAAATCGAGTCGAGCTAATCAGATGCAAATGCCACGCCCTGTTTTGTTAGTGTCATAAGAGGGGCGGTCTGACTAGGAAGCGGTACTACACTGTATTATTATTTGCTATTTGTTGGTATTTGTATTTGTGGAGCGGCTCACACAGTGAGTCACACTCATAAATATCTTAAACGGATTTTCATATTAAAATGCCAAAGTGTTACAACAGCAGCCGCAGCCACAATGGGCCCAAATCTTTTCGGATTTTGGTCAGCAACCGAAAGAGAAACAACACACCAGATTACATAAGCAATCCGTACCAAAAACTCGACTTTGATTGCGTATGCGTATGTGTGTGTGTGTGTGTGAGCCATGCCGGTTTTTTTTTTTTTTTTTTGGGCTCACACCACACACACACACTCCGTAATCGTTCATTCATCGAAGTGAATTTTTACACATAGCCAACAAAGTGCCTGGAAATAAAAATTGATCAAGCCAAGGCATCATCAACATTGCCATCAACATCGCCATCACAATCGAAAAAACATCTGCCTGTGATGAGATACGAACAGGTTGGATTGCTAAGGCTCATAACTAATTAGCAACCTGGCCAGCTCTCGTCTTTAAAACCTCTCTATATACCGTATATAATATATGCTATATGGCTATGAGATGATCAGTTGACCAGTGATTCAGTGAAGTTTGCTAATTGCATTTACCAGCCGGAGGGGAACTTTCTTTTCTTGTTGCCAAAAAAACAATTATCTATAAATAAAGGCAATCAGCCAAGGGAAGTCTTCAAGTCATTAACTAAAATTGGATTTCCTTTTGAGGCAGTTGCTAGTACGAGTAGTAAGATCTTTCTGTCAGCTCTTCTCAAGAAGAACACCATTTTTGAAGGCTACATTTTTGTTCACAAGTCAGAGAAGATTAATCTCACCGAAACTAGTTTCACTTGTTTTGGTTTTTGCATAAATAATTTGATACAAAAAGCTAACACGACAAATCTTAGACTAAATAAGCGGCACAGAAAATCACAAAGACGTCGAATCAATCAAGTTATGGGAAAAAAAGAACTAGAAAAACTACAGTGGTTTATACATATGTAAGTCGGTTACTAACTTGGTTTAAGCCAAACTTAAAAAATATTGCACTCAATGAGGCAAAATGTAGGAAAAATTGTATTATTTTAAAGAATTTCAAGAAGAAATACTTTTAACTTAAGTTTTTAAAGAATAATTTATTGTAAAATATAAAATTCAGCATATAATCGTGAGAAGTCTCGAGGAAGCTAATATGTTGCATGTGCAAGCCCTTAGCAGCATCAGTAGTAACCAGCTAAAAGCTGCTATAGAAGCACAAACTTTGAGTGCAGAATAAACCTTCTTCAAGTAGGGTTCATTGGCTTTTAACTGTAGTAGCCCTTCTAAGTTCTTAACCCAGATGCAAGCCAAGAGTTTCCCTAAAAGCGGCGACCAAATTGCACTTGCAAAATGCCACAAAAATGTTTCTAACATCGTGGGGGGAGAGGGGGAGTGCATATATATATATAGCTTTTGAGCTCTTTAGCGATTTGAAGCTTTCCCCTCTTAGCCGTAAATCGCAGCTGTATCCATATCCGGCATACTTTTCGATGAGGTGGTAATGCTGTCCCATTTTTGTTTTTCTTTCTTTTTGCCAAAACACAAAAGCCAAAGACAATTCTGGCTGAGAGAGAGATAGGGGGAGGTAATGGCATATTTACCCAGTGCCAAGCTAATCGAACCGAAGCGAAGCGAAGCTAAAGAAATATTTATAAAAATGTGTGTGGACATTGATTGGGTCATTGGACCAGCATAGGTAAACAAGATATGTTTATGGAACGCTTTGGCAATTTACATTTATATATAGCCATCATTTACATGGTGGTTGCTGGCTGGTAGTTGGCCCGTTTGGTTGCCTTACGCATTGCTTAACATTGCTTTATGGCAGCGACTGCACCAGCAGCTGCTTACATAAAATTGCATGCCAAAAAAAAACCAAACGAAATAAAAAGCTAAATAAATAAATGGAGAAAAAGTACGAAAACTAAACAACTTGAATGAAAATGAAATGACAACAATTTGGGATTGTACAATGCGCATGAGCATTGGCATTTCGCATTCGCATTTCGCATTCGCATTTCGCATTGATTGGCCAGCAGAGTCTTTGCTTTGACAAATTTGTCGATTTTACGCAAAGTGAACAGCAGCAACATCGGCAACACATGTACTTAAAGGCAAATGCCAGATTTGTTTTCAGTTTAGTTTCAGCTTTTCATTTTTTTGCTTTTTGTTTTTGTTTTTCGTATCTGTCCAGCCTTATTTTCTTTTAATTGCAAGTAGCGGTTGGCAATTAAAATCAGGCTAAATGTGGCATGGTCGGGTATGTTGGTGTTGCTGCTGTTGCTGTTGATGTTGCTGCAGGGCGCTTAAACAGCAGCTTCCACAGCGGGCCAAAATTGAGAATCGTTTTTGGCCGGATTTACAGCCCCAGCGGCGGTACAATTTATGGACAAGTTGCTGCTGCAGTTGGCTGATGTTGCTGCTGCTGCTGCTGCTGCGACAACAAGTTGCAACACTTGCGGAGATGCAGTGTGTGTGGCACATTTATACACATACTACTCACCTATACATATATATATACAGATATATATATATATATATATGTTTGTGTACTGCAACTGCAGCTGGAGAGCCCGTTGCTTACGTAAGGCATCGCATTACGACAAAATAAAACCAAAAACAACAAAAAAAAAACTTTTAAAAAACGCGCAAAAAATGCACAAAAGTTGCGTACATATTGGCTGTTTCTCGGTGGCAGTTGGCTTTGCATAAAATCTGGATTTAACCTTGAATCAAGCCGAGCTTAACTGCCTCATAAATCGCCGCAAGTTGCTCTCGTTTTGGTTTTTTTCTTTCTGTTATTGAGAGCAGGTCGCCGCTTTGCCTTTGCCACTTCGAGAACTTTGCGATCATGAGAAGCGAATTGCCAATGCAGATACTCAATACTCGATACTTGAGCTGTCGTCCATTAGAAGTTGCTTGTTTCCACGACTGACAGACATGAATCAAGTGGCTATACACATGGATACTTTTGGCCAAGTTAAAAGCTGCTTAAATTAGTCATTCGGAATGTTGTACAATATTAATAAGTTAGGATTTTTCCCAAATGAAGTTTTATAAGAAATTAAAGACCAGCTGGCCAATACCATTTAACACAAATTTTAAGCCAAATTAATCAAAATAAAATTGTTATTAAACTGCAGCTTAGCGTTTAAAGAAATTGCACCTAGTCATTAGTGTTAAATTAATTAATTGACGTTTACTCGCACGTTTTGTAGCCAATAATTAACTTTTATGAAATTAAACCAAGTTTAGTTTTTGGCCAGCTCTAACAATGAAACTTTGAATACCGTTAAAAAAAAGCACTTCATTAACTTAAAACAGTTCATAAATTTGTATAAATATGGTGTGAATTTTATGGTTTATTTTTTAATTTGCCCAGCCAGGTTTATGGTCTTAACTGTAACAGGCAATTTACAAGGAGTTTTGGCCATAAGAAGTGAATTTTGGTTACCAAACAAATATATGAGAAATTCCCGAAAGTGACTCATTGGTTTTTGAGTATGTTGTTAGGAAGCTTAAAGTTTTTTTTCCGACTGCAAAATTTATGTGAAGTTTGCTGGAGATATTTACAGCTTGTCTTTTCCTTTTGGTTGCTTGTTACGTCGAACACCCGTGAATCATGTGTGAATATTTGAGTAAATTGCTGGTCTGCTGGTCTGCTGGCCATCAATCTTGGCCACATATATGAAAATTCCGCAGATAATGCTCTGGCTATTCATAATCCATCCCAGAGCTCTGCAGCTGGCCACCATCCCAGATCAGCATTTACACATTTACACAGCCGAAAAGCAGCATGACTTGGCCAAAAGTAAAATAAAGTAAAGTAAAGTTCAGTACAGTTCAGTTCAGTTCAGTTTGAGTCTTAAATGCAACTTAAAATTCAAAGAGGGTCCGCTGCAGTACCGCTCCCGCCTGGAAATTGACTGGAAATTTCCGTAGCACGTAGAATGTGCCGCACATCATGTCACGTTTCAGGTACCAAAGAGCGTCGCAATGTCAACGCCCCACAAAAATACAAAAAAAAATACAAAACAACAAAAGCAACAACGTGGCCCAGAGATCAATGTCTGGCCAAGAGACATTGCGTATACGCCCCGTTTCGTTCGCTTTTCGGGGGATTGCTTGAATTTTAGCAAGCTGCCAGCGGGTGTGTCGCACTGAAGAGTTTTGTAAACAAAAGTTTTGACATTTGAACAGGCCACTCCACTTGTCCAGAGAACCGGAGCCACTTTGAAAACATCACACAGCCGCCCTCCCGCCTGCCTTGAGAGGGTGAATGGGTGTGGCACGACCAAAATCAAAACCACAACCCAAAAACCAAAAACCGAAAACCTAAAACCTAAAACCACCGGCACAATGCCACAGATCTTTGCCGATAAGCTGATGCATTTAACTCATGCATTTAGCAGGGATTTATGCCGTGCGAAAGTTGAGCATTGTTGGCCAACATCGAGATTACCGTGCGAATTCATTTTCCCAGTCTCCCAATC